CTGAACCAAGACTGAACCAAGACTAAACCAGAACTAAACCAGGACTGAACCAAGACTGAACCAGGACTGAACCAGGACTGAACCAAGACTGAACCAGGACTGAACCAGGACTGAACCAGGACTGAACCAGAACTAAACCAGGACTGAACCAAGACTAAACCAGGACTAAACCAAATTTAAAGCAGGACTGAACCAGGAATGAACCAAGACTGAACTGGTGAACTGATGTGTAAAGGACACGGACCATCCTCTTCATCAGTTTTGATGAAGCAGCTCTCTTGAGGGTTGGCGCACATGTGTCTGGTTGCCAGGTTTGGTCCATCTCAGATTTACTGCAGTGACGTCAGCTCCTCCTCCACTGCAGTGTCATAGGACGTGCATGCTATTAACACCGCTCCCTCTGTCAGCAGGAGAGAGGGAGAAGAGAGACAGAGAGAGAGGAGAGATGGAGAGAAGATGAGAGAAAGAGGTAAAGAGGGGAGATAAGGGTGAGAAAGAAGGATTAGAGGACATAGGGAAAGAGAAGGGGAAGAGAGAATGAGAGAGGTGGGGGGCAGAAGGGAGGGAAGAGGAGAAAAACGGGTAGAGATGAGAGGGAGAGGAAGAGAGAAAGAGTGGGGATGAGGCAGGAGAGGGGTGAGGGAAAGAGTGAGAGAAGAGAGAAAGGTTGGAGAAAGAGAAATGAGGAGGAGATGAGAGAAAGAGGTAAAGAGGGGAGATGAGGGTGAGAAAGAAAGAGGGAGGGAGAGAGGAGAAAAAGAAGGATTAGAGGACATAGGGAAAGAGAAAGGGAAGAGAGAATGAGAGGTGGGGGACAGAAGGGAGGGAAGAGGAGAAAATCAGGTAGAGATGAGGGGGGTAAAAAGAGGGAGAGAGAGAAAGAGTGGGGATGAGTGATGGGGAGAGGATAAAAAGAGGCAGGAGAGGGGTGAGGGAAGGAGAGGGAGAAGAAAGTTTGGAGAAAGAGAAATGGAGAGAGAGAGAGGAAATGAGAGAAAGGGGGAGAGAGGGGAGCTAAGGGTGAGAAAGAACGAGGGAGGGAAAGAGGAGAAAAAGAAGGATCAGAGAACATACGGAAAGAGAAGCGGAGGAGGAGGGGTGGGGGGCAGAAGGGAGGGAAGAGGAGAAAAACAGGTAGAGATGAGAGGGGTAAAGAAGAGGTGAGAGGAAGAGAGAGAAAGAGTGGGGATGTAGCAGGACTCAGGAAAGGGGTGAGGGAAAGAGAGGGAGAAGAGAGAAAGGTTGGAGAAAGAGAGATGGGGAGGAGATGAGAGAAACAGGGCGAGAGGGGAGTTAGGGGTGAGAAAGAACGAGGGAGGGAGAGAGGAGAAAAAAGGATTAGAGGACATAGGGAAAGAGAAGGGTAGGAGAGAGAGGGATGGGGGCAGAATGGAGGGAAGAGGAGAAAAGAGGGGTAAAGAAGAGGTGAGAGGAAGAGAGGGAGAAGAGAAAGTTTGGAGAAAGAGATATATATATATAGAGAGAGAGGAGATGAGAGAAAGAAGGAGAAAGGGGAGACAAGTGTGAAAAAGAAAGAGAGAGGTAAGAAGAGGATAAAGGGAGGAGATGATAGGGGAGAGGAGGAAGAGAAGGAGAAAGAGGGGAAGGAAGAGGGAGGGAATTGGTGAGAGGAAGAGTGGGGATGAGTGAGGGGGAGAGGAGAGGATAAAAAGAGGGAGGAGAGGACAGGCAGGGGGTGAGGGAAAGAGAGGGAGGGGAGGAGGTGAGATAGGAGGAGATAGAGGGAACTAGAAAAGCACTCAGAGAGCGCAGACCTCCGCCAAGGACTACCCCCATTTTTTATATAAATTGCGATAAAATCAGTCTTCTGGATCAGATCCGGATCAGCCTTTGGAATATGAAAGAGGATCCCATTGTCCATCCCTGAGTCAAATTTCATGGGGTTTGGTCAATAATTAACCGAGATATTGAGAAACAAAATTTTTGGCCCCATTTACCACAATGTTAACTAAAATTTCAAAGTGATCCAGAATCCAGCATTTCTTCCGGATCACCCCCAAAATGAAATCAGTTCTTCCTTTTCATATTTCCAACAAATTCTGAAAATTTCATCAAAATCGGTCCATAACTTTTTGAGTTATGTTGCTAACAGACAAACAAACAAACAAACAGACAAACGCCGGCAAAAACATAACCTCCTTGGCGGAGGTAAATATAGACAAGTGGGGGAGAGAATGTAGAAAGAGAAGGAGACAATCTTAATCGATATTAAACGTGTATGAGAGAGGACACTGTGATACTTCTGCTGATGGAGCATCTTCAACATGTTCCAGTCACATTAGATACAGCTATATGCCTGAATCAGCTCCAAACAGAACTCAACCACACTCGAACATCTAACACGAGGGTTCACTTGCATTCAAATCCTTTACTTTACTCACAGCTACGAATTTGTAGATTTTAATGATTGTGTTCAAGTTACTTTCAGGGTGAAAATGTCGTTATTACTTGTCAATTAGACAAAGGTCGTCTTGAATGAGTTGAGTAACTTCAACAGTGACATGTTATTGCCAAGAGTCCAGCTCCATTTCTCAGTCTGTTCCGCTCCTCCTTTTGCTGTCTCCCTGTTTTTCCTACAGCCGCCACTCATTCCCTGATCCTCCCAGAACCGTCTCTACATCCTCCCTCTGTTCATTCAGTCTGTGCTGGATTACACCTGTTCTCCTGTTTTGTTTCTTCCAGGATGAGGCGGTAGGGGGCGTTGGTTGCGTTACGTTTTGGGTTTTTTTAGTTTTTTTTTTAAGATGAATAAATATTCAAATCCTTGTACCTGATGCAAATCTAAATGGCATTATTGTAGAATGAAAAAAAAAACAGGTTCTGTTTTTACTCTTAATTGTGTATAGAAGTAACATTTATTTGCTCAGTTCAAGGAAATGTGTTTCCATGGTTTTACGAAGTTCCTCTTAAAGTAAAGGTTACTACATATTTCAGATTTGAGGATCTGCTTGATTCGTTGGCACTGCTTCACAACATGAGTTGTATGAATGAAAAATAAATTTCACTTCACTTGCTGTGTCTAGTTAGGTGAAAGAGGAATTTACTGTACAGTACTCTGAGGAATTACTTGTAAACTTAGATTCACAGTCCACTTAGTCAGATTTTTCAAGGCAGTTGGTTTCCTAGATAAGACTACTTATTTGATTTTACAGAGCACAGAGGAGAGGAAAGGATATCCTTCAGAAATGCCCAAAATGTGTCTGGAATAAACTTCTCAAGAATTTTGAATTCTTCCAGTCCAGTTTGAGCTGAAGTGTACTTGCTCTGCTTGTCTTCAGCAGGTCCATGAGAGCTTCATCATTACTGCCTGAGCTGTTCAGAGGCTGGTCCATTTGGTTATCCCCAGCAGTGGCCGAGACTGTTTGCCATATGAAATCATGCATTACAGTAATTTGTAAGTGCACTGATAGGAAATTAAGTGCCCATCAGTGTCCAAGGACTTTCACCAAACTCATAAGACACAACAACAGTAGGAACCACTGACACTGAGTCAGTGTATCTGGGTCCACACTCTAATGACTGAGCCACTGGTTCACTTGAATAAAAAATTAGATTTTTACCCATTTTGTATCATGTATTATCATCATACTTTCTGTATTTAAAAACATGAAATGAAAATACAAAAAAAGTATACAATAGTAGATAAGTTTTTATTTCTTTAATTGTACCAAAGTGACAACATCTGGTAAAGTCAAATTACATGTATAACAGACAGGACACAATTACATACACTTAAAGGTGGATTGTGTAACTTTTGTATTGGAGGGTCCATCAAATACTTTTCTCCATGGAGATGTTATTGCTTTGTCTGGAATGTTTCACAGTATGCCCAAACCAGATTGAGGTCAGATCTGTGGAGAGGTGACCCACCTCACCATTTTCTAGTTATAAAGCCACATGCAACTGAATAAATGTAAAGCAGAGCGGTTTAATGTCATACTGTGGAACATTCCAGGCAGAGCAATGACATATCCATAAAAACAAGCAGGTGACAAACCCCCAGCCAGAAAATTACATAGCGCACCCTTAAATGTCATCACTTCTCATCATAATAAATATTAAGGTCCACTGCTTTAAAATCCCCAAAGTAGCCCCCCCATGTTGTGTAAATATACTTATAATGTCCAAAGATTGTTATTACTGTTGTTTTTATTAAATATTGTAAAATACCACAACAAACCTCGTACTAATGTATGTTATAATTCTGGAAAAATAATAAATTGGTCAGGGATAAAGTATAAATTGAAAAAAACAGTTAAGGACTTTTGATATACACAATTGGCTGTCAGACTGAAAGGGCTCATATTAAGCAAAAATAACCCTTTCTTAACTCTTAACCTGCTATTATGATGTCAAGACCTCAAAAAACATACCTGGAGTTGTATTTTGTTTCACTTTCACATATCTCTATTATTATCTGCAGTCCTCTTTCATTCATTTTCACCAAATTTGCATCTACTTTTTAACTCCATGTTTTCAAAATCTGTGCTATTTCAACTTTATACATTCCCCACTGTTACCTGCAGAGGGCGCCAGACAGACACTTGATCTAAGCGTTCTCAAGGTTATTATAAATGTGAATGAGCGATGTAAAGGCGTGTAGAAAGCCCAAATAAATCATAATATGGGAGATTTAACTTGGCTCAGTGTTTTGATGCAAGAGTTTAGAGTTGGGCAATAAGACTATATAAAATTCAATTACAGAATGTCAAATTTTGGTTGGTACATAATGTTTCAGTGTGCTTCTATTTAGTCCATTCCTATGCTCAAAAACACACACATTTCTCCACACTCTCCTCCTATTGGTCACCTTATGTCATGCTCTGAGTGAGTGACAAGTGGATTTAACCTATTACAGAGTAGTATAGCAGATAGCAGATCGCATTTATTACCTCTTAAAGGCAATATAAAGCTGCAGTGAACATGAATTGTGACAAAACTGAAGTTGTGATCCAAGCATAAAGAAAACTGTGCTATACTTTTTTGCATTTTGCCTGCCCCAACGTACAGAGTAAGTAGTTTTGATACAGATTTGCGTACAGTGTTGGTGTAGTTTAAACGATGCGTCCATGGAGCAGTGGCCGGCTCTCTCCTGGACTCTGGCGACTCAGGAGGTTCCACAGTAGCAGAGGCACTGAGGTCCGGACTGAACCAGAGCCAGATTCCTCCACCAGGGGCTGATACTGCTTCAGACGCCTGGGGACAGAGCAATAATGTCAACCATAGTTACAGAATAATATGACTTTTGATGTACATCTCTTATGTATTTTCCAGACAAGGCCTCTTAAGTGGTAATATTAGAGTTAGGGATGCATTGATATTGGTATTGGATAATGGCTTTGGTCCAAAAAAAGAATAATAATTGATTCTATGATATCGACTTATCCAGACTAGTCCATATCCTGGTTGGGCTTTTAAATGGATGTAATGACACTATTTACTGTCTGATGTTGGCTCCGAAGTCTCATAATATTTTTATTCATACAGAGCTGTTCTTGCAGGTTGAATTGGACCCATTTTGTAAGGCTGCATTAGGTGCATTGCTAATTGTAGTTGCTCTTTGTGTTGTTTTTAGACCTTATATCCCACAGTATCACCATATAGCAGAAAAGTGTTACCTGTACATGAGCCCAACACAGCAGACCACACAAGCCAGGACCATCACCCCCAGGACTGTGGCTGCAGTACCGGCCGGAGACCCTGTGCTCGCTGCAGGACAATGGACAGATGAGTTCAAATAATGACACATGGAGAGACGGTGTTCACAATCATGAATGTTACTGCTGAAATGTAATCATGTTATTACATACTTAAAGACTTTTGCCCATTTGGCACAATTCAATTTTGTTTTGAGGCATAATGCAAATTAAACAATGTATGTATGAATATATTTTACATACAAAACATCCATTCTCAACACAAAATCATGGTAGTCTCTCCAGTATCACCAAGTGGTACCAAATTTGTCTAATTTGTGTATTTTTTCATTATTAATACATGTTCAAATACATTGTTTTGATAAACATGAAAATAAATCGATGATGCTGTTTGAAATGCCTGTATATTTTCTCTCTAGTCTGTTGCTTTACTTTATTGATGTAGCCTGTATACTCATTATGCATACCCATATTGACGTTGACGCGGGCACTGGTGACGGCTAAGCTCACATCGTTGGTGAGGGACACGTTGAGACAGAAGACTCCAGTGTCGTTGAAGAACTGCCTGAGGATGAGCTGACAGTCTGGAGTCGGCATGGCAACGGAGCACAGTGTCTGTACTGGAGTTATACAGTCAGCATCTGACACCACAGTGCACACCTCACTGGGAAGACTGCAACAGGGACAGAAGAAATAGATTTAGTTGATCTGATTCGAGTAGGGTTTGCCAAAAGGGTCATGATATCTCATTACACTAGTGAAACACATAATACTGTATCTTATATGTTCATATTAAGGAAAATAAGTCAATAAAAAGGTGCACTACACACCTTCCCTGACATGAAACAGTAACATCCACAGCATTCTGCTCCAGCTCTGTGGCCAAAGACACAACATTGGACACCTGCACGATCTCCACGCTCTCAATGCCCTCTGCAGAAACAAGACAGAGACTTAAATCAATACACATCCTTTTTTAAAGTGCTCATAAATGAAGTCAGCTCCAGACTCAGACTCACGGACGACTTGGACGGAGGTGGCGAGGGAACCGTAGCGGTAAACAGTGCAGTCTGCGGTCAGCTCAGGGGCCTGACGTTTTGCAATCACCAGGGGGAGCTCTGCCTCTGCTTCTGCAGGAAAAATTGAAGTAGCATTACAGGTATTTTTAAACTCACTTGTGATATTATGACAGAATTGTGCACTAACCACTGTAATTAAAAAATGCATGTTTTACATGGTATTTTCAGAGACACTTTAAACCAAGGGTGAGTTCCCACTTCCACTTAAACCCCATCAAAATTATAACTAAACGGTAACCAGATCCAGAACTAATCCTAGATCAGGACAAAACCAGGACTAGAGCATAACCAAACCAAGTCTACATTTGGACTAAACTGGGCTCAAACCAGGAACCAACAGGACAAATGTGAATGTACTTTAAGTAACTTCATTTGGTGCATTATACTCACACCTCACTCAGTAACAATGGCCACATCACTATTTACATACATTTAAATGAAGAGTCTTGTTTCTTAAAGGTATAAACCACTCCCTTTGATATTTAGTTAACAAGTCCTTAGATGTACATTATTACCCTCTACTGATTCAGCAGAATTCTTTAAACATTTCAACAAGCAATGGAGCACTGCAGCCTCCTCAATATGCATCATAGAATATAACCATAATCATATCAATGTCAATATCCACATAAAGTTTTTTACAGTGACTTGAAGTATTGTGATACCACAAGATATTCAACACTCCTAGTACTCACCTGCAGCAGCTGCGGTCGCTGCCACCACATTTTCAGTCTCCACCTCAGGCTCCCCCTCCGTGACCACCTCTCCCTCTGGAGCTGCCTCTGCCACCACCTCCCCTTCTCCCTCTACAGCTGCCTCTGGAGCTGCCTCTACAGCTGTTTCTGGAGCGACTGTGGCAGCAGCAACTACTGTGTTATCTGCAGCCGCCTCCATCTCCTCAACAACAGCCTCTTCAGCCACGACTGTCTCCTCAGCAGCTTCAGCCTCTGTGGCAGGTTCGGCCTCAACAGGTGCAGCCTCTGCAACAGGTGCAACCTCTGTGACAGGTGCAGCCTCTGCAACAGGTACAACCTCTGCGGCGACGGCTGGAGTGGCATCTTCTACAGCAGCTTCAGGGGCAGCCTCCTCAACAGTGGCAACTTCACCTACAAACACCAGACAGTGTTAAAAATGTCTCTTCCACTACAAATAGGACACACTAATAATACTACTACTTATTTAAACTTTTCCTCATGTAATAATTTAGATCTTCACCCTCTGTGGCCTCAGTATCTACAGCTGTGTCAACAGTCTCCTCTACAGCAGCAGCGTCTTCAGTGACCACAGCTTCAACAGCAGCAGCCTCCTCTGTGGCAGCATCAGCTTTTGAGAGAGAAATCAGTCTGTATGAATGTTTATAACATGGAAAGTCATAAAAGAGAGTTCATATGTACAATCAGATGTAATATGTACATTTACACTGGAGTCATTCTGATCATTTCAAACCTATATCTACTATCATTCGGAATCATCTTTTAGTTGCTGCTAGCGGTGCTAAAAGCTCATTTATTTTTTACTTCTAGCTGTTGGCAAAGCACCTAAAATGATGCAATGTAACTGCTCTAGGAGAACAGTTTACATTTTTGTCAGTTGTTAACTGAACTACTAGGATTCCTATGCAGCATCATTATTTCACTCTGGGTGACTTGTAAAGGGTGGTACCTGCAGCCTCAGTGTTGGCGGGAACAGCCTCAGCTGCTGCAGCCTCAACTGTTGCATCAGCAGTAGCATCGACAGCAGCATCAATGGTTGCATCAGCAGTGGCATCAGCAGGGGCATCAGCTGTAGCATCAGCTGTAGCATCAGCAGTGGCATCAGCTGTAGCATCAGCTGTAACATCTGCAGCAGCATCTGCAGCAGCATCTGCAGTAGCATCTGCAGCAGCATCTGCAGTAGCATCTGCAGCAGCATCAGGATCTGCAGCAGCATCAGCAGCAGCAGCATCAGCAGCGGCATCAGCAGCGGCCTCGACAGCAGTATCAGTGGCAGCATCTGCAGTAGCATCATCTCCGGTCTCTACTGTAAATTTTTCAAATACAATGGTTTTGGAGTATTGTCTACAATTATAAAAAATATTGATACAGTTACTCAGTTGTGTTAACAATTTAAAAAATTTGTCAGCATTTGCTAATGTGTGCATTGTGTCATTATGGTTGGCTGTACATTGCACCATAGACATACATGCAGAACACTCCCAGAAGTTCGACAAAACCATGCAGAATATATGTATAAATGTGTATATGTGTCTTTTTTTTGTTTGTTTGTTTACAGCTATATGAGTATTCCATTCAAGGCCTTTGTGTTTTTGTCTCTCCTTGCACCTATTGTATCTATTGTATCATTGTTTTGTTATAAATGATCTGTGTGCAAAATAAATAAATAAACTGTACACTAGGACTAAACTGGGTCTATTCAGTGTCATCTCTTAGTTCCATCACTCTCATTGGTGACTGGAGTCAGTACCTCACCTGTTGTGTCGGTGTCTGGAACCACTGCAGTGTCCACAGCTGGAGCCTCAGCATCAGGGACAGCAGCTGGACTCACCACCACCACATCTGGAGAGGCAGATGACTCCACTGGAACCACTGCAAAACACAGACTTAGAACCTACAGTGTGTAACAAAAGTGTACAAGTGTAACAAAAGCAAAGTAAAGGCTGCACTTATTTATGCAATACAATATGTCTTCGGCAAACAACAGAAAATTCTGTCTTCAAAAAAGCACATCTTAACACATATGAGCATACATATGTATTGCAATTGGGTACATTTGCTGTAGAGCCCTGAGACAAATTCAAGCACTTGGATGCTTGGATGTATGAACCCAAATGTACAAACCCAAAGTGTATATGCATCACTAAAATCAAATGTAATTCAAGATGTTCTATACAACATTTCTTATGGAGGGTACGCCACTTGCTCTTCTCCATGGAGATGTTATTGCCATGCCTTGATTGTCCACAGTAAGGTATTTGACTTATCTAATTTCACCGAGACCAGCAGGTCAGGTCTATCCATCCATTTTCTTCCACTTATCCGGGGGCCAGGTCGCTGGGGCAGTATTCAAAGCACGGACTTCCAGACTTCCCTCATCTCAGATACTTTATCCAGCTTCTCCGGTGGGAGCCCAAGGCGTTCCCAGGCCAGGTGAGAGACATAGTCCCTCCAGAGTGTGGGTGCATGGAACACCTTCCCAGGGAGGCATCCTGGAGGTATTCAAAACAGATGCCCAAGCCACCTCTCCTCTTCAGCAGTGGCTCTACTCCGAGCTCCTCCCATGTGATTGAGCTCATCAGCCTGTCTCTAAATGAGTGCCCAGCCAGTTTGCAGAGGAAACTCATTTCAACCACTTGTATCTATGATCATGTTCTTTCAATCATTACCCAAAGACCATAGGTGAGGGTAGGATCGTAGCCTTACTGGAAAATCTACAGTCCGATACAACATCATTGCAGACACTGGACCGATACCCTTTCAAGCTCATGCACAAAAAAAGATCCCAAGATCAGGTTTTAGATCAGGTCTAATTTGGCAGGTGATGTCACCTGATGTTTCAAGGTATGAGTGAGCACTTATGACATAATTACAACACTTGTGATTTGAATAAATGAAAAACAGATTAGTTAAATGCTTTCCTGTGGTTGCCTGGGATCAAGAATTAGCCAATCAAGGACTTGCATGGTCCATTTGTGGCTGCTCAAGAGGATAAAAAGAGTGGTGACCACTATTGTGAGCTTCAAGTCGTTTGCTTCAAGTTACTTGTTACCTTCTCAAAAACATACCTGGAGTTGTGTTTCATTCACACACATTTGAGTAACCCTTACCTTAGTCTGTCTACACCTCCAAAGCTCAGAATGCTCAGTTTTAACTTGTGATGTCATGTAGAGGCAGTTTTCAAGTTAACAGCCTCCTTTTACCTTTAGTTCATTAGAGATTGGCAATTCCAGGGTTGAAATTATGACTCTAGTGAAGGTGTGTGGAGTTTAATAACACAGTACAGTAATTTTTTGTGGTGCCACATGACCAGTGTTGGGAAGGTTACTTTTAAAATGTATTCCCCTACAGATTACAGATTACACACCCCAAAATGTAGTTTGTTACGTAATCCATTAAATTACTTAAAGTGAGTAACGTAATCTGATTACTTTGGATTACTTGATATTGTCATGTTTTTTTAAACGACATGAATGTAGCAACCACATCCTGAAAATTCTTGTTTGTTGTCTTCAAATTGTCTGAGCCCAAGTCTCCATGAATAAGCAACTGTTTGCTGTAGAGAAACAAAGACCACGACATCTTAATATAAGAGGTTTTGTCTGTTAAAAGACAGTAACAAGATCAGCCTTTCCTTAATATTAAAAAATATTATTGATAGAGAAATTATTTTTTATATGAGATCACCTTAAATTATGTCAACCTACTGTTAGGTGTCATGTTGTTTAGACCTGGTTTAGTCCTGGTTTAGTCCTGGTTTAGTCCTGATTTTTAGACCTGGTTTACTCTTGATTTTAGACCTGGTTTAGACCAGGTCTAGACCAGGTCTTTAGTTCTGGTTTAGTCGTGGTTTAGTCCTAGTTTAAACCTGGTTCAGTCCTGGGTTAGTCCTGGTTTAGTCCTGTATTAGTCCTGGTTTAGTCCTGGTGTTAGTTCTGGTTTAGAGGCGCACAGGAGGAAGCGCGGTTTACGCGAGAAAACACGGTCCACACGCGGCGCACGAGACGGCGGTGTCCGCGCTGTAACTACGGAAGGAGACGTGGTCCGCGGGTTGTCAGGTTGATGACGATGATGAAGGTGTGTGTTTGTGTGTGTGTGTTTGTGTGTGTTTGTGTGCACGTCCACTCATGTCGCAGGTCATTATAGGACAGTAGTGCAGATATTATGAGTCTATGCAGGTTGTTTTCACTAGTGCCAGTAGCTCCAGTTTCACATTTAAGTTGTAGGCGATTTTATATTTGTTTTTTTTATAAATATCTCACATCGGGAGAAGAATTTCCAAGACACAAATGCGTTTTTACCAATGCACTGCTGCTTCCACTGTGTGACTGACACCGCCAACTTTAACATGACGTTTACATCGCTATTTATTGCGCGTTCTGTTTGGGTTTCCGGCAATGAGTGGAATTACCGAAATAAAAAAATAAATAAATGGGATGTAGCACAAAATGTGAAAACAGGAAAATACCGCCTTGTAATCCACTTATTTCAGCAAAGTAACTGTAATCCAATTACCACTCATTGAAACAGTAACTGTAACGGAATACAGTTACTCATAATTTGTACTCTGATTATGTAACGGCGGTACATGTAATCCGTTACTCCCCAACACTGCACATGACATCACATTCTGTTTGAGAGAAGAACTCAGCCTAAATGTGCAGGGTTTATGTGTTAAACATGTGTGAATGAAATAAAACACAACTCCAGGTGTGTTTGTGATGAGGAAACTACATTGTAACTTAGATCAGAAGCGTAATATGGGCTCTTCAAACTAAATCATCATTTCATCCTGTTTTACTCTTTACCTGCAGTAGGATTTCCGCAGGTGGGGATGCTGGCCATGAGAATGACTTGTGGTCTAAAGGAGCCCACAGTCTGATAGGTGTGAGTGACAGTGCGGTCCCTGGAGATCAGAGTCCCGGTGTTGTCTCCAAAGTCCCAGGTGAAGCTGAGGTCTGCGGCGCTCAGGTACTGGCTCGGGTCGTGCAGGTTCACGCTGAAGGCCACCGCACGGTTCTGGATGAAGCTCTGGTCCTCTACGTTCAGGTCGTTCACTTGGCTCATGGAGATGGTGAAGGGGACCTGGTCTGAAAGGGAAGAGGGTGGAGGATTGGTGGATTTCAGATTAGGATATGTGAAAAAGTTAATATCACTACTTTTCTGATTGAGTATGACCTATGATAATATTTAACTTTTCCACCACCGACTTTTCCAAAGTTCCACCAGGTCTAAACCCAGACTTTATCATACCTAATTTAGAACTAAATGCAGTCTAAAACATGACTTAAGATGTTATATTGTGAGTGACTGAAATAAACTGACACTAAACTGAACTAAAACTGAGGTGGTTTTAAATAACAATTAACCCAAAGGAGGGTAGAAACCTTAATAGAATTGTCTCTAAGTTAAACAAATTCAACTAAAGATAACCCTATATACCACAATTTGAAAAACAAGTTTAAACCATGTCTGAACTAGGCCTAAACCAGGACTAAACCAGGTCTACAACACCTCTGCCACTGCAGACCAGAAACCACAAGAGTTGTGCCAAACCAGGACTAAACCAGGATTAAACTAGGTCTAACCCAGAACTAAACAGGGATGAAACAAGGACTAAACTAAACCTAAAGCAGAACTAAACAAGGACTAAACTAAGTCTGAAGGACCTTTGATAGATGCCATCCACAGTAGACCAGAAACACATCACAAAAGCAGTACTGCAGGACTGAACCAGGATTAAATTGAGACCTAAAGTAAACCAGGTGTCTCCTAAGATTTACCGGTGATGGTGAACATGGAGGAGGCATATCCCAGGGGTATGAAGTTGTCCTTTCCTCTTTGGTGGTAGATCACCAGCTCCATGTTGTAGGAGCCCATGGGAATGTTCTCTGTCCCGATAGAGAGGGACGAGGAGGGACCATCCGCAACCTGCCAGAAACGACCTAAAACAACACAGCTCAGTTAATATTGTTACTTTGATGCTGATGCCATCAACATTCTTTAGGGGTGTGATGCTAACCATAGGAACTGCTCTGTCTGAAGCTCTGTTGCTCAAATTAGTCTAGTGAAATTTAATGTGATCTTTATTTTAACACAATCAGACCATAAAGGGTTGATCGACAACAGATGAGCTGATTTGTGCTGTTCAACAAGCCCCTCAAAATAAGACATTAGCCAACAGTCACTCACCTTTTTTTTTTTTTGAAAATCAAAAACTTAAGCGTGACATGAACATGAACACATGTACTGATCACAGGCTCCTGAAAGTGTGTTGTTTAAATCAATTCTGTATTTTTTGTCACTGTCTGCAGTGTGTGCATTGGGCAACCATGGTAACTGCAGAACATTCTGCTAATAGACATACATGGAGAACACTCCCAGTGTGATGCCACTGCAACATATCAATACTGTCCAAGAGATTTAATATGTATTTAGCAATAATTTATTAATTTAACCATTTCAAACAATAAATGATCTTCAAATACTTTATTGTAGTCACAGGTGGGTAATAAGGCAAAAAATATTTTTGTTGTACTATCACAAAAGCAATATTCATGTCAATATAGAAATATGATAAACATATTTAAATTGAGGTTTAATTATGAGACAAATGTGATAGGACTGTCAAATGACCAACAAGTGCCCAACTGTCTCACACAAATCTTATCCCTCTTTCAATGATGTTAAGCCTGTATTATAACTGAGCTAAGTCTTAGCTAAAGGACAATCCATTCTCTGATAGAATTAAGTGTAGTAACTAAGTAGTTTGAACCAGTCTGAGCTGATAAGTAGAATTATTGGTGGTTTTCAGAGTCTTGAATGTGGTGATGCCATATTCTCAGTTGGATAATGCCACAGATTTCCGTATTGTACTACCATAAAATATTCAGAAGTTAAAAGCACAAATGTTGAACCTGATACTTTTATTATTGACTAGACTCTAGAACTCACTGTATTAAAACAAAAACTGCATTTCAACAATATTATTTTTAGCTTCCCCAACTGTATTAAAGCATCAGTACTGTATGTAACTTTTAAGCCAAAAAATAACTGCTAGAATTAGAAGTTGTGTTTTTTTCTTGGTTGGTGCTCCACAAATCTGACACTTACATGGCCTGTAAGAGGGCCTCATCCTCCTTCCTTTGACTATAATATTCGACAGTATGGCAAAAAAACTGTATTCATCTCCATGCAGTGTTATAAAGTATGATTTTAACTTTCTGCCTCCATGAAATTATGTGGTGATGAGCCATCTTCAAAAAGTTACATACTGTACTTTTAAATAATGTTGTAATGTTGTGTCAAATGAAGCCCAGCAATAAATAAAACACAAACAGTACACTAAAATGTGTTGTGTTAAACCTCCTCATGTTGTATCTGTGCTCTCACCCCAGGTCTTCCACACATAGATGTATCTCTGTGGCCGTCTCTGGGTTCTGATTGGGGTCCCATCGGGAAACATGGCTGTGCCCTGAGCGTCCGGGTACACGGGCTGACCCGCCTGGTACTGCTGCCCTGGAGCGCACAAGCAAGGTGACAGTCATTAAACAGCAGCAGTAATCATTGTAGTAATAGTAGTAGTGGCAGCAGAAGTAGTATTACTACTAATAATGATGCACTTCTAATGTGCTTTACAGGCTTGTCTCTCAAAGCGTTACACTGTATTCATTGTTCATTCACTTCATGATCGGGGGTGGTAAAATACTGTAGCCACAGCTGCCCTGCTGTATTAGTATTTCTTACCATCCACAGTGCAGTTCTGGGCCCACACCACAGTGCCATCAGACAGCACAGTTTGATTTGAGGGGAAGTTTAAGTTGATGGTGAAAGTGGCTTTGGCTCCACTCAGAGTCGGAGCATCGTTCTTCAGCTCAAATGTCACATTGCCACCTGAAAACAGAAGAAGTAGGGTATATTCAACATATGATCAAATGGAGAGTTAAGGTCAAGTAGTAGTTGTAATAGTAGTTGCAGTAGAAGTAGTATATGGTATAAACATTCTAACTCACCCCTCCAGCAGTTCCTGAACCTGGGATCTCCCTCTCTCCAGGCTGGGTACATGCGAGTGTTCCATGAGCGAAACCTCGTGAACTGAGACCTTTGCCCTGTGAAACACACACAGGGAAACACACAGACACACTTCAGATACACTGGAGTTTGTGGAGGAAGAACTTTAAGCAAGAAAGAAGCAGAAGAATTCACTCTTTTATTTAGTCAATCATTCATATGGTAAGATTTAGACACTTAAAGCCCTTCATAATACTTGACATTATTCACACACTTGGTACTTGGTGGTGCACTGAATCATGAGACTGGTTGTTATGTCAAAAAAAAATCTCTATTGATTAACAATTTCAGTTGGTTATTTTTTGCTTATTATATGGAGCAATTCAAATTCAATTCAAACAACAGTATTAAATGACCAGCATCAGGCACACAGTTTTATGAATGAAGGTTGGTGTGTTTTGCTCAAGGACACAATGCAGCGGTCAAAGCAGGGATTGAACTGCTGACCTTTGAGTTCCTGGGCAAAAATGCGATTTTGATTCCTCGGCCAAATATTCGAAAGATAAAAGTAAAGGTGCATACTGCTCTGCAACCAGTAATACACAACTCCTGTAAATGAATAAATGCAAGACAGTCAGGTTTAATGCCCTATTCTGGAACATTTCAGGCAAAGAAAAAAATCTGCATAGAGGCAAGCACTGGAAAAGTTATATAGTGCACCTTTTTTTTCAGAAGTGCAGATAAACAAAAAGTGTGCAAGCAATCCAATAGAGAGAATAATTACTTTTAAGGAATCACGTTTGATCACAAAATAATATATAAGAAGTTAATAATTAGGAGGAAAGTATTTGTATTTGATCAGTTGTATCATTCTGTAGTAGTGCATATTTGAGTGAGGTGTGTCTGAGTTGTTCAGTCACACGACCCACAATCCCCCACAATCCTCTTCATGTGATCGTCAGCTGAGACCTCAGTAATCCAACAGAGATCAGAGGGAGACCAGGCACTGCCCAAAGAGCCAGAGGGCCAGGTATGTGACCAGCTCTAACCGATGATGTGGTAGCTGAAGACCTGAAGAGCACTCTAACCTCACAGCAAGAAGGTTCTGGGTTCGAATCCCAGCCTGCCCATTTCTCCATCAACACGCAAAACATGCACAACAGGTAAAATTCTCCAGCTAAATGGGCCTTGATCTGGAGATGGGTCCACAAGCATTCCAAAATTTCCAAGCAGCATTGAAGAAAAGCAAGTCTAAGTGTAAAACTAAGCTCTAAAAAGGTTGAAGGATACAGGCAAAAAATAACACTCCCTATAAAAACTCCATATAATAACTCAAATATATAGTTTTAGTGTCTTATTAGCGTATAACAGCCATGAAATCAGCATTTAAATCATCTAATTGATTACAGAATATTGTAATTACAATTGGCTACAGTAATTTACATTCAAACACTTTCGCATAGATTTATCTGGCTAGTCCTGTCACACTCTTAATGTCTGAACACAAAATTACCCGGAACAAATACATTTTTCACAGTTTTTACTCACTTGCATGGGAAGCAGTAGCAGCCACAAGCACCAGCAGTTGTAGTAGTAGTATCCTAGTCATCATTTTTTAAAGGATTTTTTGAGCCCAGATCTTTAGCTTCAGTGTGGACCAAACAAGAACCAAACCAGGACTAAACCGGGACTAGGGCCGGTCCCACTCTTTAAGGACCCCAGCCTCAAACAAACTCCTCTTAAGCGTGACATCATGAGGGAGTGTGGAGACGCCCCCTGGACCTGTTACAGACACACAGAACAGTGGTGTTAGTATTATGGGCTATCATTGTGCTTCGTTTTATCACTGTGAACTTTTGTTAGGTCGTACAGTATGCACATTTGTTTTATTTATTTACATTTTATAATGCTGTATCCTTGCATAGAACATGTATGAATACATGTGTATTCCAGCCTGTTTAGTTCATCTAACTCTTAAGTGCATCCAAAAGTATAGTTCAAACATACAAACTACTTTCTGTATAGTATGTACTGATGAAAATAATACTAAATTTATCTATGTCCTAACCCTGTGTTCTGTCAGTCATATCATTATTGCACTGTCTCCCTATGACCTCTTGTATAAAGCTGAGGTTATATATTTTATTACTTCTTTTTTATTTTATTTTGACTTGTACATTTACATTTATACAATTTTACCTAATTTGACACCTATCTCTTTCTATCTTTTTCTACTTATTTAAAATGTATTATTAACATTTATATTTTTACCCTTTGTTATTATGTTATATTGTGATGTGTGAGCTACTGTGTCCAAATAATTTTTCTTGTGGATCAATAAAGTTTGTCTAAGTCTTAGTCTAAATTTAAAATATGTTTTGTATTTACAGAAGTATAACCAATATTTGTTGCCGAATGTTGTTGAATTGGGGCGTACAGTTGTGTGCAATGAAGCGTAGTTATGGAATGGGACAAGAACAAAATGCATTTTTTCACTGGACTGTAACTGTTCTGTTGCTACAATATATACAGTATAATAGACTGCAATAATACTAGTAGTGCGGGAGTCATCATCACTTCATTTACTGTTTATGCCCTGTATTCTATCCTACAGTTAAATGCCCTATTGACACTTTGCTGTGACATCACTCTGGGGGTGTTCTATATGTATATCTATGGTGGAATGTTCAGCAGTTATCTTGAAGACACAAAGCACACAAAGATCTATTTATCTATCAATTTTAGTACCTGTCTTGGTGTGTTTTTATATATGTTTAATATTTATCATGTTTTCAGTCAAGCTTGATGGATGAATTTAAGTAATTGTTTATGGAACAAACCTACTCTGCACTGGAGCTCTGTAACACTTTATTTTGTAATTGTGTTTTTATACGTGTTTATTGCACATAATGTGGATGAATGAAATGTGAAATGTGGGACCAGCCTCTTAAATCTGCAAAACAAATTTACCTACGGGTACGAATAAAGTAACCTATTAGCAAACACTGTCAAAAAAGTGTGTTTATTAATTGTCACAGCAATGCGTTTTGACTACTTAGTCTTCATCAGGGCGAACCGCGTTGGCGTGACAATTAATAAATACACAACTGCCATCCTTTTTTCTTCTCAACAAGAATTCATGCCCTCTGGTCTGATGAGCACCTGTAGGCGAAAGTTTTGATCCAGTGCAGCACTCCAATATTGTTATTTTTACTGTCAAAAAGGTTTTGTCTGAAAAGAAAAGACATAAAATGGATTTAAACACATGTTGAGGAGTGTTCATGGTTATGTTTAGATGTTTCCATTTTCAAAAAAAGGGAAAAAAATAATACTAGCTATCTTGTGAAAAGATCATCTCACCTGTTGTAATTCCAAATAATCAGCTCATCCTGTCCAGATTGTTTTCAAATAAAGTTCTAATTAATGTAACAGTACTTCAGACAGAGCAGTGCCTCCAGTTAGCATCACACCCCCAGTGAAAATTAATGGGTGAGAAAGGTGAGCTATATATATATATATATATATATATATATATATATATATATATATATATATATATATATATATATATATATATATATATAAACTGATTTCAAAATGACAGAAAAGTGCAGCTGCCTCTTGATTTATTTAAGGTAAGCTTACAGGATCATTTGTCCTTCATTTAATATTTTTGGGTTTATAATTTGCTTGGATGTGACTTTTTAGCTTTATTCATTTATTCATTGTAAATTGTATGTTAAATGGTGTCTTGTTCTAGTTAATCCAATCTTGTGTCTCGTATGGTTCTCTGACTTGGTTGTCCCAGGTGAAATGTTCATTTTCCTTAACGCTGCACTACGCAACTTTTCTGGTTAAGGTTACACTGCTGCATGTTATTCCTGTGCTTGGGTTAGGGTTACCAGGAATGTTTCACGCTATGGCATTAAACATACCAAATACTTATTAAATTACCTGTGTTTTTATTGCTCAAAAATACACTGAAAACTGATCTGACCCATAATTTGGCCTGGTGGCTTTCTCGTCTCCATGGAAAAAGAAGAGCTGAATGACGTGGAACATTCAGGTAAAGTAATAAAACATTAATTATGAAGACAGGCAAGTAGCAGAGCCTCCAACCACAAAAGTTAGAAGATTCATTTGTATAAAAGTTTGTGTTTCTCTTTCACAGTGGCGTGAGCTCCGGTGCTGAGGGTCATGTGGCTCTGACGTCTGAGTGGGCAGCAGCATCACAAGACGACAGACACTCTCTCCTCAGGCTGATCCAGGAATTCAAGGCGGACGCCACAAAAATGCTCCTGTGTTGAATGAAAAAAATGAAATACAGTTAGATTTACTTTTACGTCATGATTTCCTTTTCCTATTTTATTTCATTTTAGTTTTTGAAATATGATTTTAAGTTTAGTAAATCACTTAATTGACTTTGCAACATTAAGTGATCTCCACGGACACTGACAAATATTAGTGGTGTAATGAGGAGGTAAAGTGATGAAATATAAGTGTAATGTAGCCAGTCCATTACATGGGACTATAGGGCTAATTAAAGGGTAAGATAATGAGAAACAGAAACAAAGTTTTAGAAATGTTTATTGAATAATTGAGTGCAGATTGAAGTTACCTGTAAAAGAAAAGGAAATAAGTAAAAGGAAGATGTGCATTTAACTCTAAGTAATTGTGTTAAATTAATTGTAAACCTCTGGTGTGGTCTGCCTCAGGTGTTTCTATTTAGTATTTTAGATCATTAAACACTGCTAATTTAAATAAAGATATATATATTTTTGTAGTTAATGTAATTGAATATTTTTGGGCACTGTTTTGATAGTTAGCTTTTAAATATTAAATGTAAAAGGTATTGAAGCTTACTTAGTCGTTAAAGTGGGCTCACCCAATTAGGACAGGGCCTTTAAAAGAAGCTAGCCTCACCTTGTTCAGGGAGAGGTGCTGTGTGAGCGCAGGCAACTGCCATGCCTGTTTTTAACCTTTTTTTTTTTGTACTTTTGTAAATAATTTTCTGTCTTTTGTCTGGAATAAATGCACTGGGATCTGCATTATAAATCGACTCAACTTGTTCCTCTGAAACCGCTAAGGTTGCCACCAGGCTATTACAATAAGTTATCATTTTGACATTTAAATTTATTTATTTTTTTTAACAAAAAATAAATTAAAATCATTAAAAAAATCATTCTGGTGGAGGGTCCATCAAATGCTTTTCTTCATGGAGATGTTATTGCTTTATCTGGAATGTTTCACAGTATGGCATTAAACCTTTCTACCTTCATGGAGATCAAACCAGACAAGTTACAGGTCAGATCTGTGGAGAGGCAATCTCAGTCACAGCTATAAAACCACCTGTAATTGAAAAAATTTTAGTTAGAGCTGTTGTTGTCATACTGTGGAACATTCCAGGCAGAGCAACGATATCTCCATAGAAACAAGAACGGATCCCCAACCAAAAAGTTACACAATACACCTTTAAGGGACCTTGATCAGAGCAGTTAAATTCATGAAAATGTCAGTAAATGTTTGATTCAAACATACGATTTATGTTTAAGTACAATAAAGACATCCGTGGTCCCTCATCATCAGCCTATTCCAAGTTGTACACAGCAAATTCAAAAGTGTTATATTCACGGTGTTGGTGTTGTTGTGAGTAAAGTAAAGAAAATCCAGATATGTTTCAACACAGTCAAGAGTTATTTCAACTATGATGATGCTGTAGAGTAAAATAAGTAGTTGCTGATTCATAGTGTTGATGTCAGTCACTAAGAAAGTGTTTATTTTGAATATTACACTACAGCAGTGTTGGGCTTTTGTAACATTTTGTAGAAGCCAGTTTCACTGTCCTAAGCTAAACTAAGAGCTAATAGCCTTTGTTTTTCAGCAGAACCTGAAGTCAACGAGCCTCATGTCCAACCACCCAAGCTTTCACATGCCCCGGTGTAAAGGATTCAAACTACCCCCGGTTTCAAACTACCGGGGGGTAGCTTGAAGCTGGTTTCAAATTACCCCCCAGTAATTTGAAAACAGTTTTAAGCTACCCCCCTTAACCCTAACCCCAACCCCTAACCCCAACTCCTAACCCTAACCCTAACCCCCGGTAATTTGAAACTGGTTTCAAATTACCGGGGGGTAATTTTTGAAGGGGGTAGTTTGAAAACGCTACACCGGGTCAGATTACTTTACCTTTTTAGGACACTTTGCAGTTAATTTAATTCATAAAAATACGAAATATATTTGGTCTAATGCTAGTAGTAGTAGTAGTAGTAGTAAGCTAACTATCTTACCGATGATAGTCAATGTTGCTGTCACTGATGTCCATGAAAATTGGGTAAAATAGCCACAAATTGTACAAAATTAAGGGTAACGTTACATCAAAAAGAATATTTCTCAAGTCTAAGAAAAAAGTAGATGTCCAAAAAATGTGTTAAGTAGCTAAGAGTAAAAGTATTCGGGGAAACTACTCCTCAGGTACCTTAAGTTAAAAGTAACAGGACGAAACATCTGATTTGTCTGCAATCATTCGCTGTATTCACATTTATTGAACATTGTACCAAGTGGAGAATTATTAAAATTATTTGAATCAAAAGGTTGGTAGTATTCTGTAAAAATAAGTATGATGTCTTACCCAATACAGTGTCTTAACATGCTATTGACCTTTAGTCAAAAAGAGTAATGATACATTCTTTTTTTGTATTTTCTTTAGGGTGAGTGTCTTGCTGCTGGTTCACATGCATTCCCAGGTCCTAAAGGCTACAGTGGAACGATGATGGCTCAAGCCATTAACCATCTCCTCAGAGATTTACAGGTATGTCATGAAATGGTTAAATGTAGAACTGAAATGTAACCTCACCAATAATTTTGTAATTGACTAATTGAGTTTTATATATGTGCTAAATAGTTGTAATGTTTGCCTTAATCTCATTCTGTTTTTGTGATTAATGGCATTTAGGTGTTTTGTTTCTTGTGGGTCTTTTCTAAGGGGCTAAATTTTTTCAGATTACCCTTCAAGTTATTTATTTGAATGTTTCCTGTATACAAAAACATAAGCTTGTGCAACAGAATAAGCTGCTTAATAGGAACAAACAAATAATAATGCAAAATAATGTATTTACTATATATTTACTTTTTCATTTTTATTCATGACTCATTAAATATTGCATAGCCCATTTTGCAAGGTGGCTACTTGAATATGTTATATTTATTCTATTCTTTTTTATTTCACAAATCTGTATGGACACATTTCTGGCTGGGTGAGCCTGGACGGCCTTTCTACCTGTGACTGAAGTGGGAAGGACAAAGGTTTTTTATGTCATCGTTGACCTGTCTGAATTTGGTGAACACTTCAATGCACTTTGGTCCTCAGACTCTCATAAACTTTACACCTGTATTCAAAGAACTGTCTACAGCATGGACACTGGATGTGTAAAAAGAAACCCCAAGAGTGAAAGACTCTTGAGATAAAAAGTTTCTGCAGTGTTAATGTTTCATAAGTAGCAGGACTGCCTCTATTGTGAACATTGTTATATTTATATAATGGGGAGAAGATCTTGTTTCATTTTTGGGTAATGTAACATGAAGAACACTCTACACAATTTCTACTTTATAAAGTGTTAAAACATAGCAATATAGAGTTATTAGTTTTTCACTATACACTAGTGTAAAAAAAATCTAATCTTAATCAGTGTCAAATTCAACTATGAGGAGTGTGGTTACATCACTTTACCAGTGTTGAGCCTTCTACACTTTGGAAAGTGTAGTTTTAACTCATTTTATTGTGGAACCCATAGGACATGGTAAAAGTGTTAAAATTAAAAATATACGAGTTGAATTAACACTCTTGAATTTGCTGTGTATTCTAATGAATTACAGCATGTTTGAGTAGTCCTGTATTGTCCTGCAACTGAGGCTTGAGGGCTTAAAAAAGTAGTCAGTATAGTCTACCCCCTATCTCCGCCCCCAACTCTGTAGTTACTTGCTTTTCTTCAAAAAATGTCTCAGTCATACAAGTAAGGTTCACAAAGGCTTAACATCACGAACACGTATTTGAAAATGTATTTGTTACAATGAAATGAGTGACAACTTGAGGCATCTCAGTTCTGCATTTTTGACCTCGCATCATGTGGAATGTTTCTCATCAGTTCATACAGATCTCAGGCTCTTTCTCAGAACACTTGACACAGCGTTCATTCACAAACACACATGATCAATGAATTGTCTTATCAGCTGTGAGCACAGGCACTGAACACATGTATAGACTACATTATAGATACATGTATAGATTTACAGATATGCACAGTTCTTGTTTGATTTTCAAGAACACATTACATACAACAGTACAAAAGTAGTGTTGATTTGCTATTCCAACATCTTTCAACTTTCTTCAGCATAAATATTTTTGATCAAAAATGGCCATATACTTTTACACAATATAGACAGGTTTTAGACAAAAATGCACACCTTTTCCCATCCAAAATTCATCTGTGTAAAGTGTGAACCCCAATGAAGACTACACTAAACCTCTCTTCTTCTCTGTGGCCTCTGAGAGCAGGACTGAGACTCTGAGCTGCTCTGTCAAATGAATGAAAGAGCACAGAAAACATGTGACCAATGTCTGAGAGTTTGGAAGGTAAAAATTGCTTTTGGAGGACAATTCATCTATTTAGGATTTTGTTTGAGCTGTTGGATTTTGTTTGAGCAAATGTCAGTTTTCAATAAATAAGAGTGCCAAAGCAAATGAAAAAAAAAAAAATAAAAAAAAACTTTAACTATGCTTTATTGAAGTCTAACCTGTCATATGCACATATACAATATTTTGGGGTTTACTAGTACACTGACAGATCTTGTTGACACTATGGGGAGAAGATCAGCTGAAGAAAGGTCCTCTGCTCCTTCATTCACTTCTTCGTAGACTGAATATGAAGCTCCAGGTCATACACAGAGCTTTAGTAGCACAGGTCTATGTGGAGTTCCCATTGTGTGTGTTCTGAGGCTGTTGTGCATGTGACCCCTCATGTGCTCACTGCCGTTCAGAGACAAATCCTTCCACTCGCCCCATGACCAACATACCACCACACTCAACTATTTCACTCACCCACACAAACACTTTACTCTTAATGAGGTTAGTTTTTGGTTTTAGCAAGATTTTGGGATTAACTTAAAGGCTTCAGTTTCAAAGAGTCCTAATAAGTTTGGGAAAATTTAGAAAGATTGATTTGATATAAGCTGATGGAGAAAAGGAGGGAATCAATGGCACATAGAATAGAATAGAATAGAATAGAATAAGTATAGTGGTTAAGAGTAGTAGCTGTACTAGAACTGCAGAAATAGGGCAAGAAATAGTAGTAGCAGTAGAGGTTATAGCAGTTATAGAAGTAGTATTTGTAGCAGTAGTAAGCAAGGAATAGCTGGCCTAATAGTAGCCAATAGAGATAAATACATTCAACAAAATACATAACAAATACATTTAACAACAACAATTAATCTTATTAATTTTGGAAGAGGCAAATGAAGAGATTATTTTTCATTTTTATCAAATAAATGAATCAGAGAGATCGTTCTTGTATGATTTGGGGGTGGAAGAAAAAACTAAATAAAAAATCAAACGTTGCATGTCTGTACTACGGCCACCAGAGGGCATAGTTGTGGTCTCAGGTAAATTTCATTCAGGAAAAACTAAAAGGAATGGTCCATCAATCAGTGCATTTAGACATTCTTATAAAGCCATTTTCTTCTTTTTAGATCTGTTAAATTGTCACTTAAAATGGAGCACCAAGCTGACGCCTAATCAAAACCATTATTATTTCGGTGAAAAGTTTTCTCGTATTTAATTGTATTCATTATTTTTTCCCCCATAAGTTCGTAATAGTTCAAATGTATATATAAAAAAATAAAGCTTGGAAAGTGTATCAAAATTAAATAAAAACGTGGGGGAAAAGTCTCCTTGCCTGATTTGTGTTGACGTGGTTCACGTACAGCGTCACTCACGTTTCCAGTGAGGTGCGTTTCATTCGCAGTCTTTAACATTCAGTAGCGTTTTCTAATTTCCTACTCAATTTAGCTTTAATTTCCACAGCTCTGCTCGCAAGTAACAACACTATTCAACTTAACATTCTTATAAATATGACAGAATGGTGTTTAGGGAAAATAATCCCTTTAAAATTTGTGATAAAGAATAGAAAACTGTTTCCGTCCGGCTCTTACGGACTGTCCCCGTCACACAATCAAACGTCTTTGTGGTAACGCGGGAAAGACCAGTGTGTTGTTTTCGGCTCCACAAACGAGCATCCACAACGCTAACCCATGTCCCAAAACTACCGTAAACAAACGCTTTAAGGCCGCGTATTTACCTAAATCCTGACCGATTGAACAGTTCAAACCTGGGACTCATTTCTCCAACTTTACCGGGCCGGAATGTCGCGGATAAGTTGAGTTTTATGCCCGGTTTCTGAGCTCCGATTGCCGATCTGGTGGCGTTAGCTTCATCTCGCACAAAGAACCAGCACAGAGGCTAAAGACGGACCGACAAAACAAGAAAGTTATTTTATTTTGAACTTTTAACAAATGGATACGTTTCAGAAAGTGGAAAAGATCGGAGAAGGCACGTACGGAGTGGTTTATAAAGCAAAGAACAAAGTCACTGGTGAAACTGTCGCGTTGAAGAAAATCAGACTTGATACGTGAGTTACGCCTTTTAGTTTCAGAATTTAAAAAAATCTGTTTACTGTTCAGCAAAATCCACTCAAATGTTGCTTTTTAATTGTTTATGCGGTATTTGATTGTCGATCTAGTTGAATTAACTTTGCATACATTTTCATTTGTACAATAGATGCTTTGTTTTGGCCATCTGGTCGTTTGTAATTACCATATGGACTTGTAATACAATCTAGTGTTTCTTATTTCTCGTTTCCTTTGCCTTTTTGATCCTGTTTTTGTTAAATAGATTTTAGTTCAGTATATTACAGACCTATTTTATAACTTATTCATATTCCTGGTTAATGTTGTTACTGGTTACTGAGTTAATTGAAATGTATTTAGTTTTGTTTATTAATAATTGACTCTTATGTCTCACCTGGATAGTTAGATTTTGTTAGTTTGATAATTTTCTTTGACCAATTTATCACTTGTGTCAAGAGAACTAAATTACTATTATTTTTGTTATCTTTGTCATAATAAAAGTGAATGTGATTCTTTCAGGGAAACAGAAGGCGTCCCCAGCACCGCGATCAGGGAAATCTCTCTACTCAAAGAGCTCAGCCACCCCAACATCGTCAAGTAAGTTTTGCTTTTATACAAAGTATGTAATCTCCATATTAAGTTTATTCTGATCTGAAAAGAGACCCTTTATAGATCGGAGATTTTCAGAACATTTTTTTTTTTTAATATTAAGTAAATAGGGGGGGGGGTGGAGCTGGTTTGGAGCTTCATGCTAAATCCTGTCTGTGTTTCAGGCTCCGAGATGTGATCCACACAGAGAACAAACTGTACCTGGTGTTTGAGTTTCTTCATCAGGATTTGAAGAAGTTCATGGACTCTTCCTCAGTCACAGGGATCCCTCTCCCTCTGGTCAAGGTCAGTTACACTTAACATAAATATAAAGTAGAGCTTCAGTTCATACAGAGCCTTTTGTGACTTCTAAAGTTTTCAGTAACAAGTAGGGATGGGACATTTCTCAAAAAAAAAGACTGAATCGTACGATTCTGGTGTTGCGATTCTGTGTTGAGTGCAATTCTCTCATTTCCCTCCATACACACTGTGTTGTTGCTTTGGAACAGGTAGGAAAAGGCAGAGCCTGGGGTCCTTTATTAGATTATGCTGTTTTACTGGTAGTTAAATTATAACTGTCAACCAATTTTTTATTATTTTAGAAAGTTATTTATTTTTATTGTGAGTGATTTATTTCACATATCTACAGTAGGAACACAAAATGTTATGATTTACTGTTCATGCTAACAAACGTTCTGAGCATTAATAACAATGACTTTTAATTCAAAGTTAATTGTATATGTTGTGTTTTGAGATTAGAAATAATATTAATTTAAAGAAGTTATCAAAATCGGAAGAGAAAATCAGGAGTCCAAAATCAAAAGTCTATCGAATCGTTATTTGAAAATAATGCCTAATATTTTAAATAAATTGAAAAGACAAGTTTTTTTTTTTATATTGATTATGAATAATTTATGGTAAAGCTATCCATGAATGTATATATTTATAGAGTAGGTTTTAACTGTTACTATAAATTATGTGAACTTATATATATTTTATTATGTGTGAACTTTTGTATTTCGCAAAGAATTGTGATTTTAATTCTGTGTGAACCACTTGAGTTGTCTATGTGCTGAAAGGTGCTCTACAAATAAAATTGACTTCACTTGACAAATTACCTCCAGTTTCCCTGCTCCCTGTATAAATGCCAGTTCCTCCTTGTGCACTGTAGTTCCCTGTCTCTCCTGTTACAGAGTAGTGAGTAGTATCTTGCCTCTGTTGCTCAGTAGTAACTAGTATCTTGTCTCTTCCTTTGCAGAGTTACCTGTTCCAGCTGCTGCAGGGCCTGGCGTTCTGTCACTCTCACAGAGTCTTGCACAGAGACCTGAAGCCTCAGAACCTGCTCATTAATGCTCAGGGGGAAATCAAACTCGCTGACTTTGGTTTGGCTCGAGCCTTTGGGGTCCCTGTGCGCACATACACACATGAGGTGAGGAACAGCTGGGACTGACTCAACTGAGAGGCTGTTAAAATGGACCATGAATCATAGTTACTGCTAGTAGTTTTTTGTCTTACTTGGAAATGGGACACACACAGGCATAAAACTTTGACTTTTTACACAAACTAAACTTTTGACTACACATTTTGTAGGTCAGAGGTCAAATCAGAGGTGATGGGTGATAAAATGTACTCATAAGGTCACACATATGGATACACTACCATCAGTGAACCTCACACACACAGCAGAGTATCAGCAGAAGTTTAAAGACATTTCTCTGTTTAATTGTTACCAAAGATACAACAGATACATTGTCACGATATTAAAATAAAATCAGAAGACAGAATGTTTGTTAAATGCACAAACTTACTAACATTTGCAAAAATTAAAGGATGACAGTTTAACTTTTATAAGATAAGATAATCCTTTATTGTCTCCCATGGGAGAAATTTGTCTTGGGACAGCGGATAACATGCTTTATCAAAAAAACAGGACAACACAACACAAAGCACCATACAAACATCACCATAGAACAAAATAAATACGAGACCGAGTATGACCACGAGTGATGCACAAACAGGACCTTTAAGTCAATATACATTTTGAATTTACAACTTGAAAAATACAATAGTTGGTCTGTCTGTTGAAAAAGAGATTTTTGATTTCAGTGAGTCTTTATTCTGGTGAAATGCTAGATGTAAAGTTCATTGTTGTGACCTCTGTCCCTCTCTGCAGGTGGTGACCTTGTGGTACAGAGCTCCTGAGATCCTCCTCGGGTGTAAGTATTACTCCACAGCTGTTGACATCTGGAGCCTCGGCTGCATCTTTGCTGAAATGGTAAACTGCACTTTCTTATCTTGACATGCACAAGTCTACCAATGAATCGAAAATAGCTCTGTTAAGTGTGTAATAAGGCATACATATAATCACACGTTTATAAGAGCCTAGTTCACATTTTTAAAAACATTTCTAATTCTGACAAAACTGACACTGATTAGTATTTAGTTTTGAAAGCTTAAAAGAAAAAAGGCAACCTTAGTGGAAAAAGTTGTTGGGCATATGTCTCATCACAAACACACCTGGAGTTGTGTTTTGTTTCATTCACACGTTTCAAATAGAAAACACTCTGTTCTACCTTGTGATGTCATGCTATAGGTAGTACAGGAAGTGTTTTTCTTAACTGTGTCCATACACCTTCACTAGAATCATTTGGATCATTTCAGCCCTGGATTTGCCAGTGTAATGAACTACAGGTAAAAGGAGCTGTTCACTTGAAAATTACCACCACCTCACAAGGTGAAGCAGAGCCTTTTGCACTTTGGAGATGTAGATAGACTAATAATAAAGCGTTACTCAAACGTGTGAATGAAACAAAACAGGAGGTGGTAACATTTAGTAATTAATTTCATGGCTTAATGCTCACAAGAATCCATTTTGGGTAATATAGAACCTTAAAGCATAGAGCTGTAATTGATAGATAAACACTGAATTACAATGTAACCATCTCCCAGTATGTGCAGATTTGTAGAGGACAATGTTAATGATTGGATACCTAACCCCCTCTGTGCCATGCCTCAGATCACCAGGAGGGCCTTGTTCCCCGGAGACTCAGAGATAGACCAGCTGTTCAGAATCTTCCGGACTTTGGGGACTCCAGATGAGACGCTGTGGCCCGGAGTGACGTCCATGCCCGACTACAAACCCTCGTTTCCCAAGTGGGCGCGGCAGGACCTGGCCAAAGTGGTGCCTCTACTCGACGAAGACGGGAGGGAACTGCTTGGAGTAAGTGCATTTTACTTTAGCACCTAATCACAGCTGAACTTGGATTGCCAGTTCCCTAACTTACAGGTACAGGACAGATGCAAGTTGCACCCGCCAAAAAATGCATAATGAAGAAGAAAAAAAACATATATAAGTCACATCGGACTATAAGTCACACTTTTTGAGGGAAATTTATTTTATAAAGTCAGAGACCAGGATCCAACAATTCATCTTGAAAGTCAAGTCCTAGTAAAAACAGTGGAACAGAGAACAACAGATTGTTAATGTCACATATGAACAGTTCTTCAGATAACTATAACATAAACAACAGAACAAGTTACCAAACTCTCCATCTCACTCCAAATCACTAAATCCATTCAATTCTTCATCCTCTGTTTCATTTCTGAGCAACTTTGCGGCCTCTGGAGGTAAACAATAGATCCATGAGATAAACTGAGCGCCGCCTCCTCTTCTGTGTAGCTGTTGTCAGACTCAGCATCAGTTACAGTTAGAATTATTCCGGCCTTTCTGAATCTTGACAGGATGGTTTTGGTTGTCACTGAAGTCCAGGCTTTGTCCATCCATCCAGTGACTTGCAGGAAAGTTACATGGCACACCCACCCAGTTACCATGAAGCTGTGTTCTCCATCCCCGCTTTCCGCCAGTCTCTCAGAAGTTTCTCGCTCACCCCAAACTTTATTTTTGCTGCTCGATTACCCTTTTCAGCTGAATATTTCACTACTTGCAGCAGGACAGCTGCTTTTGCTGCAGCAGATATGCGCAGTAGGGTGCGAAGTAACAGCGGTACAGGAGTAGAAGATACTGACACACAAGACTAGACTCGCGGCTGTCAGTGTGAAAATTTTTATATATGAGTTGCACCAGAGTATAAGTCGCAGGAAACACCCAAACCATGAAAAAAGAAAAAGTGCGACGTATTGTCTGAAAAATATGGTAGGTTTAAACCAGATGGATTTAGGCATAGGATATGACAACCCAAATAAGAGCCTCATGAGAAGAGATTACCTGTATATTCTGATTTGTAAGTGGCTATAGTTATGTCATGATCACCAATGGATCTCAAACTGTTTATTTTCCAGGAAATGCTGACCTATGACCCCAACAAGAGGATATCTGCCAAGAACGCTCTGGTGCACCGCTTTTTCAGAGACGTGACGATGCCAGTCCCTCACCTCAGACTCTGAACAGACACAACAAAACTGAGCTTTAATCCCAAAAGTTTGAGCTACATGGACCAGTTTAACGTCACACCATTCCCTCAGACCGGACCAAAACTCCGCCCTCCAGTGGTCACATCTTTGAGGATTTTGTCTCGCCAGTTTTGATACCAACATTTCTCACTATATTTCCAGCAAGTGCTACCTTTGATATTGGTTACATGGAGTTTAGTGAATTTAAATCTTAATGAGTTCAGTTATATGATGTTGGTTAGTTAAGGTAAAGGTTAAGGGATAGTGCAAATATCAGGAGCCATAGGGATGTTTTAAACCCTAAAAGTGCAGAATGTCCAAGTAATTTGAAAGATTGAGGCTATATTCTATTGTGAAATGTAACACTCTTTCAAATATGGTTTATGCGAGACGTGTGCTCCTAGCCCCAGTATGGCTTTTACCACAACAAAATTCAGAATGTAACAGATTTTTACAGTCTTGAAAATTTTAAGCAGTTTGCAGTGGTTCCTCACTAATCATATCCATTCTGAGCATCCTAATTATTCACCATGATGAGTTTATTAGTGCTTTTCACAACTCTCAGACTAAAGTTGAGTTTAGAGGTAACAACTAGCATGTGCTTTATAATTAGGTACAGACCATGCATAGTGGACTCATTTTGACCTCAAGAGCTGCTTATGCAATATGTCTATACTGAGGTACAGACTTTTTAAATGAATGGAAATTATTTGAAAGCCCAGTAGCAATTCTCAAAGCCATACTTCTTTATTGTTTATGAAGAATTGGTAAATAACACAAGGAGCAATGTGTCACTCAAACACTGCATATTTTGAGAGGATGTACACTTTGTCAATAGGACTATAAAATAATATAGTGGTTTAGACCTGCCCAAGATGGCGGCTCCCCAAATGGAATGTTTTCAGATCTTTTAATTCTTCATATAAATGAAACTTGTTCATGAAGATTTCTCAAAGTTGCACCTTTCTGTAGTTGGTCCCAGCTCTGGCTCGGATGTTTCCTGGCAGAGCTTTGTGCCGTTGCGTCATTTTTCCACAGTTTTTCCTGTACATATTTGTGACTTGCTGACGTTCCCGAAGTGATTTTACTGGAGCTGAAGTCGTTGAAAACTTTTCACTCTATAATTTTAACAGTTTTATAAATGTTATATACAGTTTGAACAAATAAACCTGTTTAAATAACTGTAAAATGTCTGGTAAATGTCTGAACAATCAGGTCAATTCAAGGTTTTTGACATATAGAAAGAAGTGCTGTGGCCACAAGGGGTCAGCGAAGTAACAAATAAAGGCTAATTATAGTGATGTATGATTTGACTTCTTCCCATGCATCTATTATAAGATCATTTCTGCCACATCACATTTTGGTCCCTTCATCATTACAGCTAAGCATCATTTAACCATTGGCTACTTGCCAAGACTAAGAAGTCACGTACTTTTTACACTGATCAAAGACCTAATATTTGAGGTTCACAAAGCTAAATCTTGAATTGTATATTGCTTAATTTTAGTTTATCTAAACATATTAAAACTGTTAAACAGAGAAAATCAAAGCTAGACTTGGAGAGTGTAATTTAATCACTTTATTCACTTCTGTAAATATCCTGGTAGTTTTTCATTTCAGACATATTTGTGCTGTGTCAGACAGGTCCTGGTGCTAGCCAGCTAGCCTCTGCTGCAGCTCAGAAAGTCAAAGTCCTGAAACAGAATCTAAACAGAGCAGAATTTTTACTGAACAAAAATTGGCTCAGTAACCACTGTAGGTGCAAATAATACAACTGAGTTTTAACTTGACAGAAATGTCTTTCTCAGTTAAATTGGAACTGACCAGGCTGGCCAGACTTTCAAAAACTGGGACACACTTGTGCTATAATGCACTGGGCCTATTCTCAATTCACTTCTAAATCAGCCTATAACCTGAGAGACAGCTCAGGATGTTTTTTTCTGTGTTTTCACTAAACAAATGACAATAAATTCCTCACTTCACTGTTAGTGGGGATCAGACTGGTCAAAAATATGGACACCAGGGACATTTCTTGAATCAAACTGAGACAAATCACAGTTTTTTGTATAAATCTGCTGGGACAGGGACACGGCTCAAAACTGGGACTGTCCCGAGTATTAGATCTAGTCTGGTCTTTACCATAGCACTAAAGCTCATGATTGTGTACAGATGTCCTTCCTGCTAGCCCTGTTGTCCTCTACAGGAGGTCCAGGACTGCAGGTTGAGAATCACTCTATTTAAATGTACTTAATGAATGCAGAAATGTTGATAATCTCAGACTGCTTCCAATAGAATTTTCACACATAATTTTGCAGAACGTTTCATTGACTTGATGTGTAATACAGTTTTATATCTCTAGTTTCTTCTTCAGTTCCAGTTTGTAGAGGATCTGGTACCCGTCGTCCCATGCGTACAGCAGTGCCTCCTGTGGGTTGTACTTGAGACTGGCGTGAGATCCATACCGTTTGGGGAAATATACGAGCGGCGCTTCGTCACTGCTCACGAGTCCGTTAACGTCGAAAACACACTGCACTCTGGACCTGCCTGGCGTCTGTGTGTTATAAACCACGTAAAGAGTCCCACAGATCACAAAACCCGCCTCTGCATTCTCCCTCGGGCAGTTCGATTCCCACATCTGCTCTATGTCCAAAGTTTTCACATCCATTTTAGCCAAAGAAATGTACTGGTCACTTTGTCTCGTGGCATAGATGGCCCAAAGCCCCTCCTCATCCACTGCCAAGTCGATGAGCGTTTCTGAATTTAAGGTGTACACAGGAATGTAGTCTTGAAATGGCAAGATAGCACTGTCCGTCATCTTGGCGCTACTCAAATCAAACTTAACTATTTTATCTTCCTCTTGGCTCACGTAGTAGGCAAAATTCTTGTACACGACTTGGCCAGTTCCTTTGAAAGCCATGGGGAGTTTGAGTTTTTTGGACAGAGTTAAACCGGACGAGCGGGTGAAGTCTTGCACAGAGCTGAACTCATAAACAATGTCTTGGTCTGTGCTGTTGAAAATGTAAAGTTTACCAGAGTTAAGCCCTGTGTCTTTGGTCCAGACTCCCTTAGGCCCGCCCACGCGCTTCAAGATCTTCATGGCTTTGATGCTGGAGATCATGTCACCACAGTCTGACGAGAAAAACACATGGTTACAGGTTAGTCATCCAAAAACATTCATTTTGTCTTCTTTTTAAATAATTACAGTTTAGGTTCTTTTTAAAGAGAATACGTAGAAGATGTAATTTACTTTGCTGACAGGTTAAGCTGAGAACACATTGAACTTTATGCTCTGTTAAGAATGTTGTGATGTCATGTGTACCAGCCTTATCTGGCCTCAGAAGCTGAGCGAGGTTTGGCCTGGTTAGTGCTTGGATGGGAGAATACAAGGTGCCACAGTGAGGCTGCAGTGGCTCTAGTACAAACTGCTGTTGTGTCCTTAGGTGAGACACTTAAAGCTACCACCTGTAAGTTTGTTTTTTCTTTCACCAGTAGATAACACATGTGAAACCTGTCCCCTCCCCTCACCTGGCCTTTGTTCAGAATCACCTGTGCTCTCTGCTCTTCTTCTGTTAGGCCAAAGCTGGCACACTATCAGACAGCAGTAAAGTAGCATTTAGTGGTAATGTGTGAGAATACAACAGGGACGGGTTGGCCAGTCTAATTACTTATGGTAGCTTTAATCCACATTGCTTGAATATGGTGAATAAAAGAGTGGATGGTGGTTGGAGGAGTAGTTGGTGCAGATTGGCAAACTTGTTTATAGATAGATAGAAGGAAGGAAATTCCTTGTTTGGCAGCAACAATGAAACATAATAATAATCGTACAGCAGTAATTAATCATTTATAGAGATGTGTTGTATTGCCGTATGTCAGTTTAGCCCAGGGCACCTGCAGCCACAATAGTGTCTTACCACCACCGAGTGTGGACTAAATGAATAATGTTCTGAAGATGCCATGCTATGCTATGCTTTATAATTCATATACTTCACAATAACAGAACAGTGATCAAGTCCCACCTGAGAGCTGATAATACTTGTTCTTTTGTTTCTCCTGCACTAGAGACACTTGTTGCTCGATGAGTTTGTCATCGACATCGACACAGGGCTGTGCTCCAGTCTGAGTCTCCAGATAGTCCAGCTCTCGCTCCACACGGTCCACTCTGGTCCCCACAGAGTCCAGGTGGATCCTCAGACCTTCCTTCTCTTTGTCCAGAGCCTCCAGCTGAGACACCATCTGCAGCTTGAGCTCTCGCAGCTCTGAGGCGTAACGCGCCGTCTGCTCCTGCCACAGGGAGATACGGTCCTGACAGATACAGACAGAGGGGACATGTCAGTGTGAAACTCAATCATACTGAAGTCGTCCACTGTAAGATAAACTCATGTCCCACTACACTACACTCCGGTGTGCTGGTGTTGTTGCCATACCTGCTTGTCAAAGCCCAATCTCCCCAGATCTCAGAAAGTAAGCAACGCAGTAGGTACTCTAGTGCAAACTGTTGTTGTGTCCTTAGGCAAGACACGTCACCCACATTGCCTAGTATGGACATTGCCATATGCCCCAAGAGTGAATAAATAATTCAATGTATATAAGTAAAGTAATAGATTATTCTCAATCCTTTGCATTATTAGTATTACATTTAGGAGAAACAGCGGCACAGAAAGAGTGCCCCAGGCTTGATTCTCAGAATGGGCCTTTGTGTCTGGAGTTTGAATGAAGGAGGTCGATTAGTGATGCTGAGGACTGGATCTACCAACCTCTGGGTTTGATGGTTTATTTTTAGCACTGGCAGCAGCTTTACACATGTGGAAAAAAAAAACTGTCATCAAATTTTAAGTGTTCCTGTGAATCATTGTAATGTGAGAACTTATTAACGTAAAGGAAAAAGTCTGAGCGAAGTGCACTGGAAAACTATAATCAGCGTTTGTATGACCGTAAACAGACACAGCACATAATGAGAAGGAGCTGTGTCCCAGACACAGGAACAGGGACACATGTGGTGAATCCGCCCAGATCTGAGCCTCTAATACAGAGAAGCCTGTGCCAATCTGAAAACATGAACCTTTAACCCTGGGATCAATTACAACAACAAACATTTTTCTATTTCAAATCCATCTATAAACTAGGGTGGACAAATGCAGGCTTGATGACAAACTTTAGAATTCACTGTAGTTTTGAGAAGCTTAATGATAGTTATGAGAGATACAATAAAAAAGAGCACATATTATGTAAAATAGACTTTTTTGAGCTTTCAACCATGTTATAACAGTGTTCCCATATCATTAACTTACTCAGAGTTGTATTTCGATTGCTTCATGCATGTTTGACTAATCCTGTACTGTCCTGCATATAAGGCTTGAGTGCTCAGAAAATTTCAGTTTTCACCTACCCCCTATCTCCACCGACTGCTCTGTACTTACTTGCAATTATTCAAAGCCATTTCCAAAAATAAAACAAATTAACAGCCAGAACAGTAACCTCTTATAAAGAAAATGTCACTATAATGAGATGGGTCTTAGTTCTGCCATGTTGAACAGGAAGTCAAAGGATCTGTCAAGCCTTTTTAGATCAATATGTTGAGATATGTTATGATTAATCAACTAAATGACTACAGTCTTATTAAAATCAAGCACAAAATGTAAGTATTATGATGGCACTGCACTGCAGAGAAATCCAAGTTTACAGAGGCTAAAATATGCACAATATAAACTCTTAAATCCCCTTCACAAACAGGATGGGTGTCATATTCCTCTCTGTATTTCCTCAGTATTTTGGAGTGAGCTTCAAAGCTGCCGTGTCTCTGTGGGGAGCCTCAGACCTCTCACCTTCCTCCTGAAGCAAAAACATTTCTTCAGCGATGATCCGTAAAGAATGAGCCATTCAGATGAGATTATGAAGAGAAACAAGTCCGAACACTGAACAGGAGCTCCACACAACACCTGCAGTGTTCTGTTTAGTGGATAAAAGTTTGTTACGAATATTTTAATAATTCTAATATAAAAGCATTTAAGTTAAGGTGCAAGTGCTAATGCTCAAGAGGTAACAGCGATATTTTAATTGAATGCATATATTGAAATTCTTAATGAAATTCCAAGCAGTTTTGTGTTGATTGACAGCACATAATGAGTAGAAGCTGTTGGCAATACTATCACAGTATTAGCAGTCACTCTTACTTCATACCTTCCTGCTCTTTGAGTAACAATAATGATATGTTTAACTATTTATAATATTCTAAAAACACAATAAACTTGGCAAGGTCTGTAAACATTTGCATTGCACTTGGATAAACTCTTGTAGCCACAGCTGCCCTGAGTCTGACTGACAGATGTGACAGCAAATCTGAGCCAACAGCCTCTATAACCACCAAAAATAATAATACAACAATAAGTGCACATTGCATTTGTTTTTTGCCATGTGAGTATTGTACTTCATTCACCTTTTCATTGGAGGTCAAAAATAACATACATAAATAAATGTGAACCTGCCATAATAATACTGCTTATATGAGAGGTAGACTACTCACTTCACTAAAACATATTTATAGTCAAGAATCTTGCTTAGTCTTTTATAATTGTTTTATAATTTTGGTGAAGATTATAATTTCACTTCCTGGTCGGACATGGGCAGCACATATGACATAACAGTACTCAGAGGTAATTCCATAACTGTAACCTAGCAACCATACTGTAAACAAGGGCAAAACATGTCTAAATGATACAATAGTTATTACTAGACATTTGAAATGGAGGGTCCGTTACCTGCTTATCTCCAAGCAAATGTTATTGTTTTGTTCCACAGGATAAATTAAATCTACAAAGGAGGTTACAGCGCCACACTACATTACAAATCATAGTCCAACGAGGTTTATTTGATCTTCCGATAATTTATGTTACAAGGTCCTTTTTTTCAGACCAAGAATTTGGATTCATAACTGACAGTTTGGACTGCTCACTAGCGGTCTTTCGCAGAGTGGTCACGTGATGTTGCTGTGATGTGTCGCTCAGCTGATTTATACAGGTTTTGGCGTCGTCTTCCTACCGGTGGAGACAGGACGACAGCGCCATCTGCAGTCCCACTTCCTCAGGACAGTATCCCAGATGTGTGAGAGCAGAAAAGCCCCCTCATCCCGGTTTATAGTCCGGTGGGCACATTTCCATGATTTGATTGTCTCTATAACCCAGCGACGATGTTTGTTGTCCTCTGTCTCAGTGATGTTTGCTCCTTATGGACTGGGAAGGAAGAGGCCATCCAAATACGGAAACGTGTCCACGGGACTATAAACTGGGACGAGGGGGCTTTTTTACTCTCACACACCTGGGATATTGTTCTGAAGAAATCGGATTGCAGATGGCGCTGTCGTCCTGCCTCTACCAGAAAAATTGCACAGTGCACCATTAACATAAATTGTCTCTACATATAACATGAAATTAGTTGCTGGATGTTGAGGACATAGGAAGAGGGATTGTGTTGTCTCTTCCTCTATTTTTGCACTTTTCTTATTTCGTCACAAACTTAATGTGAAATTATGATAAATATTTACCATAGAAACTATCCCACCAAAGCAAGTCATAATTAGAACATGAAAACTTTATGCACTTTAAGACCCAATATCCTATAATACTGTAAAAGCCAACTTGTCTTTCTATAAACCTGACCAAAAGAAAACCACAGTGTGTAAATATAATACTAATAATGATTTATGTTTCCAGCTAATCCCACATAATGATCACTGCACGTTTACAACACTTTTTACAACTGTAGTACTTTCTAGCAAATTCCCTCCGATTCCTCACATCTGGGTTTGATTGGTCCTGCCCTGGCTGGAGTCCTGGGATCAGATCCGGACCAGATCAGAACTAAACCTGGACTGGGCCGAGACTTTGGAGGATCTTCTTACCTCTATAGCCAGAAGCCTTCTCTCCAGGTAGTCTATGAGAGCTTGGTGTTGCGTGTTGGCGAGGCAGGCGAGAGTCAGCAGCAGCAGCAGCAGTGAGGCTCTCATTTTGGGTCGTCCAGCGCAGAGACAGGGCAGAGGGCTGAGGGCTGAGGGCTGAGGGCTGAGGGGAGAGGAGACACACACAGAGGGTTTTACAGGAGCACAGTCACAGTCCCGGAGGTGGGCTGGAATTTGAGCTTGTGAGGAGTTTGGGAGGAGCCACAGCAGCGGATAGAAGTCTGGAGAAGCCATTTCCTCTGGAGTTACCTGCTCCGTTCATGATGACGGTTCACACAAGTGGAATATTTTATACAGGCGCTGTAACTCTATAGGTCTACTGTTGAAAACTCTTTTATTAATTACATTCAATCATTACATTAAAATCTCATTTAAAAAGCAAACATCTGATTCTCAAAGCCTACCTCATAGAAGTGCTAGAAACTTCTTTTGTAGAAGTTTTATCACTACCTTGTGCATTGTTGTTAATTGCTTTTTATGTCTTTTTTATTGTGAGACAACCTTATGAGTCTAGAAAGACACCTAAACACATTATTATTTGTTTATTTTCTTTAAAGCCCCACTGTGTAACTTTTTGACAGACTAAAATCAAAGCTTTAAATCTGAAAAATGTGAGTCCTTACTCTGAGTGGGCTTGCAGCTCCACAAACCTGACTCTTATTTGGTCTGCTTGCCTCCATGGAAATGTTCTCTAGGCTACAATGTTCCACAGTATGGGCACAAAACTAAACTAGCTCCATGGAGAAAGTTTCCATGGAATCATGCAGGTGACATGCCACCTCCAGACAGTTACATGGTGTGACTTTAGGACAGTGTTTCCCAAACTTTTTTCTGGGGACCCATATTTTAAAAGCCTTAAACCTTCATGACAAGTCAATAGACGTTATTCATAAATCACAGAATAAAGGTGGATTTGACCAGCAATAAAGGTCAGTGAAGCAGCAATAAAAGGATTCATAAGTCGTCGTCTATTTGGACATTAAACGTAGCCCATTTCTTTTTCTTTTCAACATTCAACTGAACCAGCAATATTGGAACAAAAGAGTCAATAAAATAATTACAAAAAGATTAGAAATTATACAAAACATGTCTTAACATTTGAATATTTTTAATGAGATAGGAGGGCCTGTTTGTGATTTGTAGCATGTTTCAGTCCAGGTGCAGGAGGAGAGCGCAACACGAATATCAGTATCAGAACTGTATATTACAGACCTACATGTAGATCATGACAAGGCGACCCAAAAACTATCTCTTGCGACCCACCTGAGGGTCGCGACCCAGTCTTTGGGAAACAATGCTATAGGACATAATTTATTATAATTTATGTATGAGTTCATTACAGGTTTATATACTGTATGTTCCTATAAAAAGGTTCATATTCAGGGCAGTTTGCTGATTGTCTTTCCAAAATCTTCCCATTTCCTCTCCTGCAAAAGAAAAAAAAGTCTTCTATGGCCAAAAATATCACTGAGACTAAGAGTACTATAGTTATCCCATTGCACACCATTTTAATTTCTGTGATGTTTGCCAGCTACTCCAAATAACCATGGAAAATTGAGAGAAAGGGGAAAGCATTCATCCAAACTAGGTATCAATTATCCAGCTAAATACTGAGCAAAGATTTAGTAAAAAAAACAAAAACAAAAAAACAGGGAAGTTCTTCTTAGTTCTTGAATCAGAGTGCCACTCCAGATTGGTGAACTTTTAGAAGGAAGTTCATAAACTGCAAGGTGGTGGAAGTAATCAGGTACGCAAACATTATACAAAAAAAAAAATTTAAAAAAAGCCTCTGAGAATAATTTTAATGATTAATCTGGTAAATAGAACTCCAACACTATGAAGATGCCCAAATGACATTGTGTGAACTGTGCTCCTTCTAATTCATACTTGCGCTTGGTCCTTGGTTTAACTTGAGCTTCCTGTGGACCACATGATGTCTGCAGCAATACACAAGGGTGTGATTATGATAACTGCTGTCTGAAGACATCTGTCTTTGGCTCTCTGAACTATAAATCACACACATCAATCCAAAGCTCATTTATAGAGACTCTCAAAGGCTTCAGAGAGTGAGTGTGTCCCAGAGCAGTGACTGCACCTTAGGACCTTGTGAGCCAGTCATGTAAATAAGTTTTACCTATTGCTTACACGCTATTTTATAAAGAAATATCCAAACATGGTAGCAAAATGACTAGCACTATTACCTCACATCAAAGAGGTTATGGTTCAACTCCCAGGCACTGCAGTTTTCCCCATTAACCTAAATCATACACAAGATTTGAAGATGTGTTCCACTTCTGACAGGTTTAACCCAGCGTCAAATGCAGAGGAATCAAGTAAATCTTAAACTGATTAATTTTTAGCTATATAGGGAAAACTAGGTAAATCTAAAATAAAATTATGCCAACTACATTTTAATGAATCGTCCTGGTAGTTTAACCTTTCATCTGCACTTTAAGTCTAAGTCTAAGTTTATCCATAAGAGTAGTAAGAGTCTAAGTTTGTTCATAGGTCAAGCTCCTCTCACCAAACCTAGATCAAGATCTGGAGATGAGTCCCACTGCTCCTGACACGTTTAACCCAGCGTCAAACGAATGGGTCAAATGCAGAGGAATGAAGTGAGGAATAAATGTGACACAGATTTTCTAGAAAGACAGCATGCTACATTTGAGATTTGTTGCTGTACTTAAATAAATAAATACAACTTAAATGAATAATTTGTGAATTATTTGTCCCTCAGGGCCACCGTAAGCATCCAGTCATAATTTGTGAACTTCCAGGAAGCACTTTGCATGGGTTCATTATAAATCATCTGTAAAACAAAGAGAAACTGTCTCCACTTCAAATAGCATCATTTAAAAAAAAGGCTAATGCTTGCTATACTTAATCACATGTTCTTTAATAAACAGGAGCTGATATAATTTAGTTCCTCTTTGAGTTAGTGTTGTTGGTTCCTGTCAGGTTATTTCTAATAATAATTCATTTTGTTGTTACTAATACTGCAAATACTACTACTACTACTACTACTACTACTACTACTACTACTACTACTACTACTACTACTACTATTAATGCAACTTATACAACCACACTGATATTACCACTATGTTTTTATTATTAAAAGTCTGCTAGTTGAATTTCAACTTAATGCTGCTATTACTGCTAGGGCTAAATCTTATAGGCCTATAATATTTACAACAAGAATGCCATCAGTGCAAAATTACATCCAAAATGCAGGAACCATTTTTGACAGATTAAACATAAAATAATAATAATAATAATAATAAAGATTCATCACTTATTTTTATTGGTCAAATACTGTGCATTAGTTTTAGTCCTTGTTTATATGGTTGCTGTAGAAACAGTAATGAAATTACACAATCACAACTGTCATCTAGAGTACAATTTTTAGCTAAATCTAAAATAAAATGATGATAACTACATTTTCATTAATTGTCACAATATTTTAACCTTTCATCTGCACTTTAAGTCTTTTAAAATATTACCGATATTTCTTTTATTGCCAGTGTTGTCAATCAAAGCGCTCAGATGACTTCAGAGACTAAAGTTTGTCCATATAAGGTGCAGAGGTGCAGAGGTTGTGGGCAGAGCTGGAGATGAGCTGTTGTGTTTGAATAGTCAATCCCTTTTGTTTTGCCTTATTTGCATGATTCTGTGTGCCTCATTGTGATTGGACAAAACACCGAGTGGACTTCGCAAATATGCAAAAGCACGCAAATCCCTTCCATGGAGACCAAGGGGACACAGACGAGGGCCAGACGTCTCTTATCCAACATCAACTCTAGACTCAAGATCACACACCGCAACAAGATAATACATAAGAGATAAGGTAACTTAGAAGTTTGAGCAAAAATATTTGTAGGCGTGTAAAAGTGCATGCTAAAATTGTAAATTGCAGAGTCAATATTTTTAATATTTTTGTAGAAAATAAAGTGCCACCATGGAGGTTACATTCAAAGCAGTGAAGAAAAGCCCTGGGATCATCATTTGGAGAGTGGAGGTGAGGACAGTTGAATGTTAAAGATTTATTGCATTGGTAGAAATTTAAGAATGAAGAGGAAGTGTTGTGTAATATGCAATATTTACAAATGAGTTGGTTTCTTGTAAATTAGAACATGGAGCTGGCAGTGGTCCCAGAAAAGTCCCATGGGAACTTTTTTGAAGGAGATTGCTACATCCTTCTATGGGTGAGTGAAACTATTTTATTTTCCTCTTTAGCTTGGAACTACCTCCCACATTTCAAAAGTTTCAAAAGACTTAAAATGAGGTAAATTTTATTTGTGACAAATTGTTATTCACATTTGAGTTATGAGTTTGAGTTATGAGTGATGACCCTGAACACTAGAAGAACATGTGAACCTGTGGATGCATATATTTTCAATAAAGAGAAGGAACATTATCAGAGATGCAAAGGAGCCTCCAGCTGAAGTCCAGCTCCAAACATTTCTCTGCATTGGGCGCCGTCTTAGCCTGACCTGGACTCTACTCAAGCTGTAGTATATATATATATATATATATATATATATATATATATATATATATATATATATATATATATATATATATATATATATATAATTATCCAGTCTTCACAGAATCAGAGGCACTTGCTTCTGACAGTCATTATTTTCAAAGTGTTCACTGAGAATCTCAAGTCAAGTGTCACAGTGAGTGTCTAATACAACTGGAGCCACGCCCTGGTTCCTCTTGTGGCTCTTCGTCCACAAAGAGCCAAAGGTACTGTGAGGCAGCAGGTAAATGCACAACTGGTCCTACGTCATATGTGTGGGAGTTACAAAATATATAAATATACTGCAATAGTTGGAGAAACGCAAAATTTGAATATTGTCTATAATAAAAATGTTAAAAGCAGAGTTGAAATGTAATTTTACAAAGAAGAATTAAAAATGATGTTTCTGCTCTTTCATTTACAAGCAACTTTAGCACAGTTCTGGATTGTCATATTATTTGAATATTGTCATTGGGATTGTCAAAATTTAAATATTTTTTATCAGTATTACCTGCTCTCTGCCCTGCTTCTGGGTTTGATTCCTGCTCCATGCGTGACCTTTGGTGGAGTTTGCAGGTTCTCCAGCACCATTAAAAACATACAGTGCCCTCTGTAAGTAATGTGTCCTCTCTCGTCCTTTCAGACGCAGAAGGTGTCCTCTGCTCTCAGTTATAACATTCACTTCTGGATTGGCTCAGAGTCCAGTCAGGATGAGCAGGGGGCAGCTGCGGTCTACACCGTGCAGCTGGACGAGTACCTGGGCTCCACTCCAGTGCAGTACAGAGAGGTACAGGGGTATGAGTCTGACACCTTCAAAGGCTACTTCAAAACAGGCATCATGTAAGTACTACTACTATTGGGCTACTACTACTGCTACTGCTACTACCATTACTAGCCAACTTCTACTACAACTACTGCTACCATTGCTGCTACTACTGCTACTGCTACTACTACTATAACTACTACCACTATTGCTGCTGCAAGTACTACTACTGCTTGTACTACTTCATCTAGCATGATGATGAATAATACATCAGTGTGATTACTGATATCAGAGGACTTGATTGATTACATTTGATCAATACATTTGATAGACATGTTCTGTATACACTGGAAATGAATGAGCAAAGAAGCTAAAGAGCTGGCAACTCAAATAGTTGTAAAAGTACAACAGATAATATGACATTCCAGACACATGTTGTATGTTTTCACTGCTGCTCTGATGGAGCCTGTTACTTCTACAATGATCGATTGCTGCTACTGCTGCTACTGCTCATATTCAAATGGTGTGTATTTGTTTTGTGTTTTGTGTAGCTATAAAAAAGGAGGCATCGCTTCTGGAATGAAACATGTGGAAACCAACACATACGACATTAAGAGACTGCTGCAAGTCAAAGGCAAGAAGAGAGTCTGTGCCAAAGAGGTTCGTCCTGTCCTGTGGTTAAAGAGCTTTAAACTGCTTCATATGTTTGTAATTATGTCTTGGTTTGGTGCAACAGTACTATAGTAGTAGTAGTGGTTAATTATGTTTTAGTGAAAGTAGCAATCTAACCTGTCATATGCACTTTCATTTAGCTGTACTTGTTGGTTAATATTTCTCTGTGTATTTTCAGGTGGACATGAGCTGGGAGAGCTTCAACACTGGAGATGTGTTTCTTCTGGATCTTGGACAAACCATCATCCAGTGGAATGGGCCAAAGAGCAACAGACAAGAGAAACTCAAAGTAAGAAGTGTGTCACATCCAACCCTCTAGCCGGGTAAACCAGCCTCTCCTACCTTCTGTCTGAGTCTCCCACGCAGAAGTGAGACTGAGTATTAATAAAAAGAATATTATGGCCCCACATAGTGAAACTTCACCCTCATAGAATAAAAACTAGCTGAAAGAAAAATTCATAAAACTAATTTATGCTTGTAATGTTATCATTAACACAAACATAGTAAACATTAACACAAACATAGTAAACATTAACACAAACATAGTAAACATAGTAACCATTTCTGAGTTATAATCAGTGCTATTTTGTTCTGTAGAGGCAAATAGTGACATTTATACTCCAAAATATTGTAAAGGTGCACTATGTAACTTTTTGGTTGGAGGTCTTTCACCTCCTTTAACTATGGATATGTCATTGCTCTGTCTGGAATGTTCCACAGTATGACATTAAACGGCTCTGCTTTACATTAATTAAATTATAATTGTTTTTATAGCTCAAAAATACCTGATAAAACAGACACTGTGAGCAGCGTTGAGTCTGACATGTAACTTGGTTGGTGGTTTGGTCTCCATGAAGATAAAAAGGTTTAATTTCATACTGTGAAACATTCCAGACAAAGCAATAACATCTCCATGGGGAAAAGTGTTTGAAGGACCCTCCACCAGAAAAGTTACACAATGCACCTTTAAATAACATGATTCAAACATAGATCGCTTGCATCGCCATACTGTGGGAAACACTGACAGAGCATACGTCTTCGTAAAGTATTGTAAAAAGTGTTGTTGGCCCAGTAACTGACTCTCTCCTCTGCATCCTCTTTTCTCTTATCAACTTCACTAATAACTACATCTATGATTTGGTCTTCCTCTAGGCTTTCCTGGTAGCTCTAACCTCAGCATCTTTCTACAAAAATATGTACTATTCCTCCTCTGTACTAGATCATACACAAACCATTTCAACTTGTAAACATCTGTCTCGAAAACATAGACTTTAAAGGCCCATATTATGTTATTCTCTGATCTATGTTATAATGTTGTTTCCTCACAGACATACTGTACCTGGAGTTCTGTTTGTTTCATTCACACATGTTTAACACACACATTTAGTTCTTCTCTCACCTTGTGACATCACATGGTAATACAGGAAGTGCTCTACTGTATGTTTAAACTCCATACACCTTCACTAGAATCATTTGGATGATTTCAGGCCTAGAATTTCCAATCTCCACTAAACAAAAGGTAAAAGATAGCACTTTGAACTAATAATAAAGGATTTCTGTGTGTGTGAAAATTAAGAAGAAAAAAAAAACAACAACTCCAGGTATGTTTTTGAGGAGGACACTACATTCTAATATGGCTTAAAGATTTAGATTAAATTTTGCATAATATAGGACCTTTATCACCAGTAAGAACAGCCAGATCTTCATTATGCTCTTGTTCCTCATTCCAGTCTTGTAGTTTTCAGTACTGGCTCATTGTGATTGCAGGGCATGGTGATGGCTAAAGACATACGTGACAGAGAGCGTGGGGGTCGGGCAGAGGTCCGGATCATAGAGGGGGACGCAGAGGACGAGGCGCCCCGGGTGATGGAGCTGATGACAGAGGCTCTGGGGGAGAGGAGCGGGGACCTGCCTGACGGAGCTCCAGACGAGACCGCCGACCAGGAGCAGAAATCACAGCTCACTCTGTACCAGTACGTCAATTATCAACCATTAACTATCTTCCAACAAATTCTACCGATTGATTTGCAGCTGATGTTATCAACAGTCACTGGGGGTGTGATGCTAACTGTGGGCACTGAAAATCAAACATCTAAACGGGATGGGATTTTCAGACTAGACAGACAGTGTTTGCTAATGTGTGTATTGTGTCTCCATGATAACCGCTGAACATTTCATCATAGAGATACACGTAGAACACCCCTAGTATAATGTCAATGCAAAGTATCAATCAAAAATTAGGACTGTTGCCTTAGTAATTAACAAAATATTACATTTTTTGAATGGGGAAAGGTGATAAAAATGTTGCGTATAACAGGAGGCTGAGACCCACAAATATAACTCTATTGGAGATTTACATTTTTTGAAAGAAACAAACTTATGATCCACAAATGTATTCAAAGGGATTGGCTCCCAGCCTGATTCATCAGCCAGTTTCACTTCGTAAAAACAGTCTACAAAGTGAAACCCTCTACAAAGTGAAACTGGTATTAGGATTCGTTCGTTCGATTTTTTATTTAACCAATCACTACTATTTGGTCGTGACATATGTAATGCGCCAAATTCCGTAGGAAGAAGGGCAAAAACATCTTTCCCCTTGATAAAATTCTTTATTCTGGCTTTAAATTCTTGATCTCGGGAATCGTTGCCAACACAGAATGGTTTCGTCTACATTCATCTCAACTGCGCTTTGTTTACTGTTGTGCTGTATTACACAGCTCTTCACTGATTGGCTAGTGTGCGGTCTACAACTACGGGGTTCTTGCAAACAGTCTAGTGTATTCTGATTTTTGACCTAGTCGCTGGAGAGAAATTAAATTAATCGGATGCACTAGGTGGTGCCAGCCTGGCTAATTGGCTCCACAAAATGCAATTTTTTATTTAATGTGGATAGGCCCAGTAATTATAGAGTTATTAATCATAAGCAACAACAAATCTGCAACATCATGAAGCAATAGTTTTCAATTTAACAGGTCCTTTTACCTTTAGTTCAGTAGAAATTGGCAACTCTAGGGCTGAAATCATCCAAATGATTCTAGTGAATGTGTATGGAGTTTAAAAACACAGTGGAGCACTTCCACATGTCATCACAAGGTGGAACACTGTCTTCCATTTGAGAGAAGAACTCAGATATGCAGGATTGTGTTGTGAATGAGACAAAACAATACTTCACATATGTTTTTGATAAGGAAACAGCACTAACATAGATCAGAAATCTGAGTAATATGGGCACTTTAAACAGCAAATCCCACCACAGAATGGTCAAAGTTAAACTATAGGATTGTGTAATATCAAAGAAGCACTGGGCCTGAGCATCAAATCAATCATTCTGTTTTCACACCTGATGCAAATGCTCTGGGCAATTACAGTGACTAAATAACTCAGTGAATGAATAGGCCCTATGTCTGTGTTATGGCGTTTTACAGTGCTGGTGGTTACTACTCACTCCACCCTTATGGAGTTTGCATGTTCTCCCTGGGTTTGGTTAGTTTCCGCATGCACACTCGACTGGTCCACCAGCTAGCTATAAATAAAACAATTAATCAGAATGTATTAGTCAAATATTAAACTCTGGTGGTACGTTACTGCTTTAACTATACCACCATCACTGACTCACACACCACATTAAACACAAGCAAAGGCAGTCAAGCGTCTTGCAAAAGTATTCTCTGCAGTGGTGGAAAAGTACTCAATTTTGGTAATTAAAGGTGCACTGTTTAACTTTTCTGGTTGAGGGTCCGTCCGCTTCTTTCCATGGAGATGTTATTGCTTTGTCTGGAATGTTTCACAGTTTGGTATTAAACTCTTCATGGAGACAAAACCAGCTCAAGTTACAGGTCAGATCTGTGGAGAGGCGACCCCACTCACAATCAGAATACCTGTTTTTCTAGGTATTTTTGAGCTCTTAAACCACCTGTAATTGAATAAATGTAAGGTAGAGGTGTTTAATGTCATACTGTGGAACATTCCAGGCAGAGATGACATATGACATATCCATGGAGGCAGATAAAAAATGTAGAGCAGTAAAAAGTACAGATACCTGCCCTCAAATGTAGTGAAATAAAAGTAAAAAGTATCCACTTTAAAATGTACTAAAATAAAGTACAGACAGCTCAACATTGTACTTAAGTACAGTACTTTATGACTTGTACTTTGTTGCCTTACACCACTGGTCATATATATCCTAAGGTAAAAAGGTAAAGCTGATAAAAGTGTAAAGTAATTTTTTCTGGACATTCATGACACTTTTCCATTAATAAAATGTGACTTGATAAAGTATGTAACACTGTAAGAATGTGATTAGACAATGTGAATGACAGTCAGAAAAGGATGTCATTATTTTCTGGTCATGGTCAGTGGTGGAACATAACAAATTAAAAGTAGCACTAAGTAGTAGTAAGTACTGTACTTACGTTTTACTTACATTTACATTTAAGTACATTTTAAAGTGGGTACGTTTTAATTTTACTTCACTACATTTGAGAGCAGGTACTGTATCTACTATGCTAGGTTTTTGAAACAGACTGAAAAGCAAAAGTTTTTTTTATTATAGTTTGAGACCTGTTTAAAAGGCTGAGGGTTTAATTTTATATATTTTTACTTCATAATTTGAGCAAACAAAAATATACAAAGAAAACAGCTACAACAAACAACTGTTTGTCTTGTTTCTGTTGAACAAAATTCAGCACGTCTTTATCAAAATCAATATAGTTGAACCCTATAGGATCTCAAAATCTGTGTAAAAATACTTTTAATTTAATTAATTTATTTGTATTTTTACTTAAACTTAAAGTTACTATTTTTAAACAGTTATTTCATATTTTTACTTAAGTACTTAAGTAACAACATTGAGTACTTATTTCACCACCGGTTATGGTGTCAGTGACTGTATCATTATTATGCTTTTTTTTTCCACTATGATCATAACACTTAAATTTGATATAGTGAAATCTAGTGGGTATGATCAAAAGACAACACACACCTCCAGAGCAGTGTGCCAAAATGAGTGTGTCCATTCTAAACAGTGTGTGTGTTCTGTATGCAGTGTGTCCGATGCAGACGGTCAGATGAAAGTGACTGAAGTGGCCTCGAGGCCTCTGGTTCAGGACCTGCTCAACCATGATGTGAGTCCAGTCCAGTGAAATATGAGAACATGCAAAATTAAACAAATGATGTTGTAAAATGAGCGTACTTCAAACTTCACGTATGTTGTAAGAGTATATGACAGGTAAATATTAGTGCATAAGGTGTGTTCTGTTGCAAAACTGAGAAATGGGATGTAGTTAAATAGAGATCTCTTATAAGTCAAGCAGTAAAGATGCCTACGTGCAACTTACTGCAGTCGATAGCTTGTCTGTTGATAATCTGTGTTTAGATATTTAAAACTGAACTACTTTTCTGGAGGAGGGACAGCCACCTCCTTGTCTCCAGGGAGATCTCAATGCCATACTGCGTAACAGTTCAAGGAAGCAGGCGGCAGATAAATTACATGTGTATCTTCAAAGCTCAAATCAAACCAGAAATTGGAGTACTTTGAAGGAATCTGAACTATTTTTAATAGTTTTTCAGTTTGATTGGGGCATGATAATTTGACTTTTTCATTTTATTTTTTTATATATATAATTTGGTAATAATTTACCAGCAGTGCTTCCTCATGTTTTGTGCATTCTACTGCTTTTCCTAAGTGTCATAGAAACAGATTAACTACAGAATAATGAGAGTTTTGTTTTGTTTCTTGTTTTTAGGACTGCTACATTCTGGATCAGGGAGGGGCCAAGGTGTTTGTGTGGAAGGGCAAGAAAGCAAGCAAAGAGGAGAGACAGGCGGCCATGTCCAGGGCTGTTGTAAGTCACACAAATCATCATCATGCCTAACTAATATCTAACTTCAGCTTTAAAATACTTTATATTAATTTCTGCTTGTACTGTATGTTTTGCAAGAATTGAATTAAAGTGAAAAACTATCTTAATAAAATACTGTTACAGGAATTCATCAAAACAAAGAGCTACCCTCCGTCCACAAACATCGAGACGGTGAATGATGGTGCGGAGTCGGCTCTGTTCAAACAGCTGTTCCAGAAGTGGACCGTCAAAGACCAGACTCAAGGCCTGGGCAAAGTCAACTCCAGAGGCAAAGTGGGTACGTACTTACACTTTTTATCATAATGACTCACTAAGGGCTCATTTCAGATTCAAACGGGCTTTTGTTTAGGGTGACCAGATATTCAAAATTACAAACTGGGACACAGGTTGGGATGGTGGGTATAAAAAAAATGTGGAGAAAAAAAGCATGCAGCATTGTCCATTCTTGACTCATGTGTAGGTCTAAACAAATGCAATTTATGCTCCGGTTTAGACCTGGTTTAGAACTGATATAGTCCTATTTGAGCCCTTTTTTAGTCCTGGTTTAGACCTGAAATAGACCTGATATAGTCCTGGTTTAGTCCTAGTTTAGTTCTGCTTTAGAACAAATTGGTCCAAAATGTCTTGTATGAAATTGGGACAAATCATTGGTTTTGTATAAATCTACAGGAACAGGGTACACCGGGCTCAAAACTGGGACTGTCCTGGGTGAATAGGGACATCTGGTCTCCCTACATTAGTTCATTTTTTTTTTATTATTATTAACTGGTTAATTTAACAAAAGCTTATTGATTCACTGCTCCACCAGCATAACATCACTGTCTAAGTATTTTTAGTAATATTTGTGAGGAATGTTTAAAAAACTGGAAGAACTAATTAACTAAAAGCAAAACAGTTACATGCATGTTACAGTTAAGCACATATTGGTGATTAATCAATAAATCGATTCATGTAATGTAATTTAGTCTTTTATTGAAGACTAATTCTAACTAGCTTTTGACTGTAATTTTATGAGAGAGACGTGTTTAACGGCACGTCTCATCTGTTGTAGTTCCAGCTAAGTCAGCTCTTTATGCTCAGATTGTGTTAAAATAAATTCGTCAGATTAGTCTAATGCCTCAGACAGAGCAGAGCCAGTTAGCATCACACTCCCAGGGAATGCTGATGACAAAGCTCAGTTAGTAGAGCGTTTGTCCACTGACCCACAGGTCGGCAGTGCAGTTCCATGTCCTTGGATAAGACACTTAATGCACTGGTGTATGAGTGTGTGTTTGAATGGATGAGAAGTTTCTAGATGTAAAGCACTCTAAGTGACTTAAAGGTGGAGAAGTTGCTATAAAAAATGCAAGGTCTCAATATTATACTTGTTACTATAATAAATGAGCACAGGATTACACTAGAGTTATTTGTTCAAGGTGACAGTAATTACGACTGTTGTTAAATCTGAATTGGGACATAACTTCTTCCTACTGACTGTACAATAAAACAACAACTGTTGTATTTTGTTACAGCACAAATCACTCCAGAGAAGTTTGATGCTTCTCTGATGCATGTGATGCCAGAGGTGGCCGCTCAGGAGAGGATGGTGGACAATGGGTCAGGTGAAGTCGAGGTAACACTATGTCGCTAATTTTTTATTCCCTAAATTAAAAAATTTTCTTACATACTACACCAGCAATGGTTAACTCTGAATTTTGACATCTAATTTCTATTATAAGCTATTTCAGAACTTTTTTCTAAAAAAAATATATAATAATAATATTTATATATATATATATATATATATATATATATATATATATATATAATATATATATATATATATATATTATAATATATTATAGTAAACTTTTAGGAGTGAAATTTGAGTACACATTGAGTACTTCCATGAGTTAACTAAACTATCGTTGACCATAGACTATAGCAGTGTATATATTGTGATTGTTTTTTAATAATATCATTTCTAAAGTACCATTAAGCCCTCTGCTCGTGTCCTAAATCGGTTTCTCACCTCTCTAGTGGCCCATGGTGGCACTGGGGCTGACATACTGTTTCTCTGCTTGTGTGATGCAGGTGTGGAGGATTGAGGATCTGGAGCTGGTGCCAGTGGATCCAAAGATGCATGGATACTTCTATGGAGGGGACTGTTACCTGATACTGTACACATACCTGGTCAACAGCAAAAAGTGCTACCTGCTCTACATGTGGCAGGTGAGCAGTCTTCTCTGTCACTCCTAAGAATAAACAAGGGGGAAATGTTTTCGTGTTTGTGCTGGTTTAATTTACCACTATTAACGTGCACAAAACACCCCCTCTTTGGCCTGGACTGTGCCACATTTGTAAAAGTGATTCTGAAACTCAATAGGACTTTCCTTAAATAAAATAAATGCTATAGAAATATATGTAGCTGTCAGAGGAATTTTCCCACAAACACAAAGTTGATCCCAACTCAGACAATACTACTGTTGTGTACATAGGCAAGACAGGCAATAATATCATTACAACTACAACTATTATTACAACTATAGTCTAAAAACCTCAAATAGTCACAAGAGCACAAGCAGAGTTTAAATATTGATATAAATGTTGTTTTTCTCAGGGCCGTAATGCCACCCAGGACGAGCTGGCGGCGTCCGCGTTTCAGGCAGTAGATCTGGATCAGAAATACGGAGGAGAGCCAGTGCAGGTCCGGGTCACCCAGGGGAAAGAGCCAAAACACTTCATGGCCATGTTCAAAGGCAAAATGGTCCTGTTTATGGTAACTTATCTTTTCTTATTTACAACTACTACTACTACTACTACTTACTACTTATCATTTTTTGTATTTTATTCATAGTATGATTTTAAGGCCTATTGTTCATTTATTTATAGATCATTACTTTGTCATTATTGCTTTCATTTGAAACCTTGAATGTCTCTTTGTTAAATCTGCACTTATTTTAGTGTATTATCAGTGTTGGGAAGTAACTGAATACATGTACTGAGAATATTTATTCTGAATACTTATTCTGAATTGCTTTTTCATTTGTTTGTATTCAGAATACAGTTACTTTCCTAAAATCAGAGGAATACGTGGCAGTATTTGATCACACAATTTAGGCTTCAAACAGCACAGAATTAGTGACAAAAATGTAAAACACTGCTATTGTGGAGTGTGGTTTTCCTCCTCTGATCAGAGATAAATTAATATTACAAAACACATTTTTATGCAGGTATTCAGTATTCTGTAACAAAGTGTTCCTCCCATCATTTTGTGTTATATAATGCAGTGTTTTTTCTTTTGCTTTTAAACAGTTATTTTATTTTTCTGTTTTTTCACTGTTTGTAACAGGCAGATATTGTTGTTAAATGTATATACCTGCTCCTGACCCTATAGTGGCCATTCATATCTAATCGTCTGTGTGTTCCAGGGTGGTACCTCTCGCAGCAGTGCCACAGAAGAGGAGCCTCCTGTCCGACTCTTTCAGATCCACGGCACCGACGCCTTCAACACTAAAGCCATCGAAGTCCAGGCTCAGGCTGCCTCCCTCAACTCTGGAGACGTGTTTCTGCTCAAGAGCGAGAGCGCCCTCTACCTGTGGTGTGGGAAGGTGAGGACAGGAGGGCAGGACAGTGAATGAGAAGGAACATGTATCCATGTTCTAGATTAGAATGTTGAACATAAGAGAGCAGGGGCCAGTAATTACAATATCTACAACTGAGGTTTAATTCATTAGCGAAGATGTTTAACTTTCTGACATATTTTGTCCTTTAGTTCCTTAGTGCATTGTTATGCTGTGTAAATTAGGGCTGTACAATAGATATCAATGAAATCAATGAGCTACCACTTTTATCAAATGGCAAATTTTTAGATAAGAGAATGTAGCCAGACCTCTACAAACTGCAAAGCTGCACTCAGAACAGAATCATGCTTTTTAAACATATTTCACAAATGTCAGAAACTGGCATAACAAAATCAGAATGATGTTTTTCCTAAATGGGGCAGCCCCAGTGTAAATACTGTGTCCTTCACCTGCAGGGCTCCAGTGGTGACGAGAGGCAGATGGCCCGGGAGGTAGCAGCTGTGATCGGGCAGGCTGGCTCAGAGGAGCTGGTGGCCGAGGGGCAGGAGCCGGTGGAGTTCTGGGAGCTGCTCGGAGGAAAGGCCCCCTACGCCAATGACAAAAAGTCAGTCACTGATAAGTCGAGTTTTAATCCTGGCTTAGATCAAGGGGCAATATGTAACTTTACTCTGAAACATTCTGGATAAAATGATAAAGTGGTGAACCCTCCACCATAAAAGTTACATAAAGCACCTTTAAATGTCCTATATTACATAAAATTGACTCTTGAGATCTTTAAGCCATGTTAGAAAGTTCTTTCCTAATCAAAAACAGTGTTGTGTTTTGTTTAATTCGCACAAGTTTGAGTAATACTTTCTTTTTAGTTTGTCTACATTGACAAAGCTCAAAATGCTCTGTTCCACCTTGTGATGTCATGTAGAGGTAGTTTTCAAGTTAACATCTAACTTTTACCTTTTGTTCAGTAGAGATTTGCAATTCCACTGCTGAAATTATCCAAATAATTCTAGTGAAGGTGTATGGAGTTTAAAACCACAGTGGAGCACTTCATCTATTACCACATGACATCACAAGGTGGAACAGAGTATTTTCTGTTCGAGAGAAGAACTCAGCCTAAATGTGGACAGTTTGTGTGTTAAACATGTGTGAATGAAACAAAACACAACTCCAGGTGTATTTGTGATGAAGAAACATTATAACATAGATCAGAAAAAAGCATAATATGGGATCTTTAGTACTAGTTTTGTCATAATCTCCTTGTAACTGACCTATTGGTGATTCTTTTTTTAACTTGTAATTTTGAAAGGTACGATAAATACTTGCTGCTCTGTTTGCAGGCTGCAGCAGGTTGTCCCAGACCACCAGCCACGTCTCTTTGAATGCTCCAATAAAACGGGACGCTTCATCGTCTCAGAGATTGCTCAGTTCACTCAGGACGACCTCAGTGAGGACGACGTCATGCTGCTCGACACATGGGACCAGGTCTGACCCTACACAAAGAAAAAAAATCTAAATAATACAAAGATCAACAGTTAAAGGTATGCTATGTAACTTTTCTGCTGGAGGCTACGTGAGCTGCTTGTCTCCATGAAGATGTTATTGCTTTGCCTAAAATGTCTCACAGTATGTAACTGTATGTAGATAAGTGGAATGGCTTATTGTGGAACATTCCAGGAAATGTATCAATCATCTCCATAGACACAAGTAAATTGTGGGCCCAAAAACACAAGTCATAGAGGTATAAAATGGCCCATATTACGCTGTTTTCTGATGTAACTTATAAGGTTTCCTCATCACAAACATACCTGGAATTGTGTTTTGTTTCAGTGACATATAACACACAAACCCTGCATATTTAGTCTGAGTTCTTCTCTCAAACAGAAAACAATCTGTTCCACCTTGTGATGTCATGTGACAATACAGGAAATGTTACTGTGTCAGAATTGGTTTATATGTGTTGCTTATTTAAATTTGAACCATGTAATCTGATCTAATTCTTGCAGGTTTTCTTATGGATCGGTAAAGATGCCAATGAGGAAGAGCGAAAGGAGGCTATAACAACTAGTCAGGAATACCTCCGCACCCACCCAGGAGACAGGGACCCAGAGACTCCAATTGTACTCATCAAACAGGGATTCGAACCACCAACCTTCACGGGCTGGTTTGCCGGATGGGACCCAAACAAGTGGAGCGTAAGAGGCCAAGAATGTGTGACACAATTATAAAGGACTCAGGGATTGTACGCTAAAGTTATATTTTGATTTCAGGGAGGAAAGAGCTATGAGGAACTGAAGAAGGAGCTCGGAGAGGAGGCGGAGCCCGAAGTGGTGACTGAGGTATTTCACATTTACAACTTCAGATTAAGTGTAAGATAAAATTGTAAACATGTTTAACATTATTGGTATGCTCTACTGTTGATGTGTCCTTGGGTAAGACACCCCACTGACATTTCTTGCTCTGTTAGCAATAAAAGAGCCATTCAGAGTAAGGCTTTCATCAACTTTCAAAACATCCACTGCTCAACCAATGATATGACATTTTTGTTGTTTATGTTTTATATTTGTAATAAAGAAAAACATAAAAATGCTGTAACATGTTTAATAACTAAGTACAAAAGAGTCCATTCTGTTGATGGATCTATTCCAGGAGATTCAGGATGTCCCTGAAGAGGAGAAAACCTATGATCCTTTTCCTCTTGATGCTCTGATCAACAAACAGCCTGATGAGCTGCCAGAGGGAGTGGACCCATCCAAGAGAGAGGTACTATAACATATATCATTAGCTGTAATATTATGAACACTGACTGAGGTGAACTAGATAGCATAATTATCTTACTGCTGTGAACTGCTTAAACTAACAAAAAAACCTAAACAATCATGTAAATCCAAAATTGCAGCTCTTGTGGTTATTGTCTATCAGAGGTTCTTTAGACATGGTTTAGTTCTGGTCTAGTCCTGGTTTAGCACAGTTCTTGCAGTGCATTCTCAGTCCACAGTGGCCAATATAAGTCCAGATTTCAAGATGAACTACCTTTACAAAATGAGAACATGAGAAAACTACTAATTTTAGCTTTTGGAAGAAATAAAGTAAATATAAAAACCTCACCAAGCCTTAGATGAGGGCAGATAACCTAGATGCCTATAAGACATAAATCATTATCTCTTTATTTGTGCACAAAGTTAGGCATCCAAATTAAACATTTACAATGCTAATTCATCAAATTTGAATTATTCAGCACAAAATTTATAATTCAGAAATCCTTTGGAGAAAGAGCTACAGACTGGGGCCAGCTGCTGTAGGCAAGTGAAGGCTGCTTCTCAGATTTTTCACACCAAGTACCACCTAATAATAATATTTGGCTTCCCAGACTACCACAAGGTGTAAACCCATCTTAAATTAGGGCTAAACATGATCTAAAATTAGACTAATGCATGGCTACAGTATAGTTCGCAATAATGATTAACCTAAAGGAGAACAAAAACATCAATAGAGGGCCCCACATACCACCAGAAGTACCACAGTTTGAGAACCACCAGACTAGACTACTAAAGTAAAAATGCTTTAAAATGCTTTTATGCTGGTTCTATTCTGTGCATGGGATTGCTTATTACATTAGTTTTAATCATGTGCTTAATCAATACTAAGCCATGTAATATAGTCACACTCATTTACCTGCTCATCTTGTTCTTCTTGTTCCACAGAAGCACCTCTCGGACGCAGACTTTAGTGAGTTATTTGGGATGACCAAAGAGGAGTATGACGCCATCCCGCAGTGGAAACAGCTCAAACTGAAGAAAGAGAAAGGGCTTTTTTAGATTATAACCATTTTTATTTATTTTTCATTGTGTGTGACAGATTTCTTTTATACACTATTTTAGATGAAAACCACATTTTGAATCTTTTAAAACTGTCAAAGTTTCATGTCAAATAAGTGTAGCTCAGGGCATTCTTTCTAACAGGCAAAACTATTCACAGATGTAAATAATAGCCTCTGTCACTGAAAATATCTGCATGTTTGTACTGACAATGGGCTGAAGCACTTTCAATAAATCAGTGAATGTGATTATGTAATGTATGCTTATTTCTAACAATAGTAGAGCTAGACAAAAAAATAAATAAAAAAATTAAGTCTACTTTGCCCTGGGCCCCCAAATTTCTGTGGACGGGCCTGATGCCAAGACATAAGTTAGTTGGTGAGAGAAATGAAATAAAACATCATAAACTAACCACAGAGACGATAGGTTTTGATATGTTTCTGAGTTTTAATTACAACTCCATTCATGTCACAAACAGCACATTTACATGAAGGCTTGGATAAAGTGATAAACACACATACATTTTCAGTGATTTGGTAAATAATAAAAATGACACATTAAAATCATGATACAAAAAGTGAGGTCAGGCAGATTCAGTAGTAAGACAGCTGTGATAAATGTCTAAATCAAATGACATAAGTGTGGATTGTCTCAGAGGAAGTGTTTCAGCAAATGTGATTATGTCATACACGCTTCTTAAGGCAGTTTTGTTCCCCTTTTTATTTTGTACACACTCACATACATGTTATCAGTTCACATCTAAACACAACTGATAAAAATGCAACCAATCACAACTGACAGGCCAGCTGTTCATAAATGCTAAAGTAAAAATATTTGTTGACTATACGAATGGACACTTAAATGTGCACTGCATAATATTTTTTGGTGGAGGGTCTGTTACTTGACTGTGGCTTTGGACGTGTCATTGCTCTGTCTGGAAAGTTCCACTGTATGACATTAAACGGCTCTGACTTATATGTATTCAATTACAGGTTGGTTTATAGAGTAAAAATACCTAGAAAAACAGGCATTCTGACCATTAGCAGGGTTGCCTGTCCACAGATCTGACCTGTAACTTGGTCTGGTTTGGTCTCCATGAAGATAGAAAGGTTTTATAACATATTGTGAAACATTCCAGACAAAGCAATAACACCTCTATACAAAAACATTTGATGGACCCGCCACCAGAAAAGCTACACAGCACACATCTTTATATACTTTAAACAAACCTGACTCAAGATTTTGATCTAGTCATTTGAAGGTCTCATTTATTGGCTTGGTGTATTTTCTTGTTTGTTTTGTTTTATAAAGAGTTATACAACCAGTGTATTTGAAAAAGAAACAATTTTCGTTTTGTTCATGAGAAACCAATAGATTTATATCAGAAAATAAATATTTTTATTTCCATAATGCCCAGCCTTAGTTGAACATGAATTGGATGAACAGTTTTTAAGTTAGTAAGTTAAGTAAGTTAAGACTTCACTTCCCATCCCACAGGCTTGATCAGTTCTGATAAAAGGTAAAAGACCTGGTAAAAGACATGCTCCAAAACTTCTTTCTTGTATCTATTGGCATGAATAAATTTAAGTCTTGAGTCTAGAGGTTGTGAGTGTAAAATCATCATCATCATAAACAAAAGCCTGAGGTACAGTGTAGAACCCAGTCACATGACATACAGCTCTCTGCATCAACAGTACTTCTACATCATCCTTAATCTGAACATCCACCGAATGAAATGACATGAGACATGGTTTGGCAGTAAACGTACTTAAGATAAAGTTGTGTTATGTTAAATATTATCGTAGTATTGTGTCTTATGGATTAGGCTGCACAATATCAAAATAAGAACACATACTATTTCATGGTTGCATTTTGAGAGAATTATCACGAAAACTCAATTTTGGGTGCATCTTAAATCTTAATCACTAGATACAAAAATGACTTATTTCTAAAAATATGCAAGCAATATAGATCATAACTTCATAAACCATAGAGATAATTATGGTTAGTCATTAAATGTACAAAATTAACACACATCAACCCCTGATTTTTATACTTAGGTAACCTAATATTGTGCAGCCCCAATAATAAACAGCATCTGTTTAAATTGCGTGCAAAAATATTTATATAACTTATTACTTCATGACGTGCTCTGAAATCCAGGTACAATCTTATGTGCTCATGCAAACTGCTACAAAGTGAACAGTAAAAAAACTGATTATTAGAAAACATTAAAAACTGATATTCAAATACAAAGTGTTACAGCAAAGACTATTATCACTGCAATTGTGCAAAAATGCAGGACAAAAACTAATCTTTTTATCATGTTTGGTTATTATTAAAGGGATTCAGGAATGTATTATATATTGAAGTTACTGCCACCAATTTTAAAAAGTGCTTATGCAACCAATATCCCTAAAACCTAAACAGAAACATAAAAAGTATGGCGTGAGGCAGATAAAATTAAAACCCTTTAAAACCTATATAAAATATTTTGGAGAACATATTTTTTTGGCCAAAAGAAAAGTACTGGGCAAAGGTGTTGAAGAAAAGAAGATTTAGATTTGATAAACACAGACTATAATTGTTGTTTTACTAGAATTCTAAGGACCTACATTTCTCCTTAGTGATAAGAATCGTGCTCTATGCAATATGTGCATAACTAATTGATTGTAAGATAGGACCAGTGCCTTGGCAAACATTTATCTCCAAGACCTTTGCTCAGTACTGTACAGTGTGATAATACGCAGAGAAAATTCCCTTGTTTGACATTGGAGGGCAGAATACCTTTGGAGCTTAACTGTGTTTTGGATACAGTGTGTTTAATCTTTTGCTTCATGTCCCCCGTTGCTCTAAGAAAAATGAAAGTTCATAAAAGGCGAAGAAACATTTTGTTCTACAAAAATTGACAATTTGGCAAGTACACAAATTTGATCCTGAGATTCATCGTAGGGAAGGATTTCTATAATATATGCTTATTATTAACATACAGTCAACTTTTAACAGTCTTGGTAAACAATTCTAACTTTAAGAGAAACACTAATATCTGCAGATTAGGACCACTGTAAAAACAATTAGTTAAGTAGACAACAAAATTCTTACATTTGGTCAGAATTATGATACCTGCAATTACATTATTTTTCCCTTAGCCGCATTGGTCCCTTATTATTTTGACTTATTTGAAAAGTAACAGACGCTAAAGCTATTTTGTTTTTTATTTTTCAACATTAAAGAGGGGGTATTATACTTTAATGGTGCTTCTATGGTTCACTTCTCCACTTTCAAGTCAATCCCCCTTCACTGGACAATGCATCAGTCTTATGAAGTTGTAGTGTACATTTTTGTATCATGTTTTTGTATGTTTATGGTGAATTGTCGTGTGAAGGCATGGGTGATGTAGGTTTGTGGGTGGAGCATTGGATCGAATCTTATAGCTAACTATAAGGAAGGGTCAAATAAGGCCCAGGAGAGCTAAATTACTCAAACATGCATGGACGCCATCTAAAACCTCTACAGGCAAGTTTTTGATGAGGGAACAATGTTATAACATGGTAGAAAACTATAATGTATAATAACCCTTGCCTTCTACACTCTGTTCAAAACCAGAAGGGACTGGAACCGTACCACAGAGCGTGAAAGTAAGTAAGTAAGAAACAAATAATAGTTTCGTGCTTCGATTGTTGATTCTGTAAAAATCCACACTGTTTCTCAGTCCTTTATGTACATTTTCTCCTTTTTATGTGTATGTAGCCATGTTTGTTTTTGACCCAAACAGAGCATGCATCTCCCTGATTGGTTAATCCGCCTGGTAATCACACTCTCTGAAATCAGGGAGGCCGGCTACAGCTTCAGATTCACTCATCTTTGTAAAGTTTTGTCAAATCATGTGGTTCTGGCTGGTCAGTAATAATACACCCTCTTTAACTAAAATGTCCTTAAACAGTTTTTGCAGTGGCCCTTCGTCTAATATCAACAAAGAAACAAAATATAGACCAAAGCATTAAGAAACCACACATGCCTCCTGCTTTTCGTCTATGCTCTCCGAATCGTGAGGCAGGTCTGCGGTGGCGCCCTCTCCTGGAAACAGCCTGTCGTTGTCTGGGGTGTCGGTGTGGGCGTCCTCGTAGGCACTGATGCTGTCGGTGTCTGTCTTTTCATCGTCCACACCGTTTTCATAAGGCCTCTGCATAATGCCCTCCTCACATGGAGGGCTGTCCAAGGCCAGAGACGGCGAGCGCATGGGAGACATACTTACGAACTTACGAAGCTTTTCCTCAGCTTCAGCAGCAGAGGGCAGTCTCATTGTGATGGTGTCACTCTTTGTTTCATCTGTTTGACTTCCTTTATCAGCGGAAGTATCGTTTCTTTCCTAAAAAATAAAGTATAACATTTGTAGGTTTTTAAATGTATATAAGGAAAAATTCTATATAAATATACATAGAAATGTGTTCAGTAGCAATAATTGTTAGTCAGGGAAAAGAAGGGTAAATAATATGGCTTAATGTTGGACAATGACACCAGAGTTGACAGTCAGAAAATTGGGAAGCCATACATTTTTTTTCATCTTAATCATTATACTGCTTTTTTCTGGGGCTTACTAAAAATTTCTACATAGATCTTTGTTTTTTTTACATTTTGTTCATTATAAATTGCAATATTGTTTGAAAACAGCTTAATAGCTTAATTACAGAAACAGGTCTATGGACTTCTTGTTCAAATCTGCAGAACTGAGAAGCCCCACCTCCTCAAAGTAGCATTTCGCTGTAGCAGTGAATCTTACATATGACAGAATCTGAATTTGCAAACAAGAAAGCCTCGTTTCCATAGGGCAGGTACTGGCTGTGCACACAGAAGTGGGTGGGGATGGGCGTAGGTAAATGCTGTAACATTAAGACAGCAAGCATAGAACATTATAGTATTACTCAAACAAGCACGAATCAAATCAAAATACTACATATTTAAATATAATAGTGATGAAGGAAAATGATTATAACATTTAAAAACTCATAAGCATTGATTTTATGTGTCTCCTATAACTTAAGTGTGATATCGAGATTGTAGATTGTGGAACTGCTATAAGTTGGCAACAGTGATTGTTTTTTCTGCCTTCATCCTCTGCTATTACATGTTTTTTGATTTATACAAGTGGTTAATTATCATTTGATCAGCGACCAGATTGAGATAACGAAGCCAAGCGATTACCATCTGCAGTGGGACTTTCAAAGGGTGGTATTGTTAGAGATGCATGTTTTTGTGGAAATGGCACATGAATCATATTGAACGCTTTCCAAACGTTATATAACCAGCTTTATGCAGCTCCTCTGTATGCATGTACTGTGTGAACTGTATGGTGTCACGTTACCTCTTTCAACCTCTCCACTTCTTTCATCAAAGAACTGACCATTCCCTCCAGTTTCCTCCGGGCCTCTCGTTCTCGCTCCAGCTTCTGAAATTCAGAGTATTCAAAACTTTCAAATTCAATTATTATGAAAAATATAAAAATCTAGTCTTATATTACTACAACATTTAACTTTAAATGGGTGTTAACTGAAGTACATTACTGCTAAACCAGTTCAAAATCTGAACTTCCTGTGACTATACCAGATTGAAACCAAGAATAAACCAGGACAAAAGCAGCAGATCAGGACAAAATGACAATTGCACTAAAACTCTACAGATCAAATCTCAGCATTGTTATTACATGAATTCTATAGACGCCATTCCATTTATGCATACATGTACCTAATATTAGGTGTGGCTAGACAGAAACTGGTCCTGCTAAAAGAGACTGCTGTTTCTCAACAACAGTGTTTATAGATCCATTTTTGTAGTATTTTGGAATTTACTGCAGTTTTTACATCTGTGTAACTTTGCATTGGGCATATTGCTACAACTTATGTTTCAGCTCATTGAGTACTTCTTGAATTACCAGGATTTATTGTGGATTTAACCAAGTCTAAATCCCTCTGAGCCTAAACCCAGAGTAAACAAGGACTAAACCATGTCCCACAATCATATCCTATTTATACTTTATCATTAATAATACTAACAGTAATAGCACTTGAAACTTATATACCACCTTTCTGGATACTGAAAGATGCTTTACAAACAAACAAACAAAACAAAAAAAACACAGTAAAAAGAAGACCGTGGAAATCCAGTTAATGCAAGTTTGAACAGGTGAGTTTTAGGGTAATTATCACGATTAGTAGTGCACTTACGGTGTTGGCCTCGCCTGCCTCTCTCTGGGCCTCTGCCAGCAGCTCCTCCACTCCCTCCAGAGAGTCCTGCAGAACGTCCACCTGGAACAGCAGTGTGTCCCGCTCCACCTCCAGCCCACGCACCTCCGCCAAAGCCTCCTCATAGCTCGCCTGGAGCTCCAGCTATAACACAACACACAGATCAGCCTGGTCTCAGTGTGGGCTAAAGGAGCGCGGTGCCAAGCGTGAGTGGGCAAAGCAGCTCCGAGCCAACAGTGGGAGGATCTATGCGAACTCGTATGACAGAAATAATGGGGAGTATGGAAGTGTAGGAACCCTCTATAATGAGATGTCAGGCAGGAGAATATAGTAAGTCCAATAAGAAGTTATAAAAAGAATCATCACATGATAGTAAAAAGTTCCATTTCATAACAAATTTGATGATACTGTAAAACTGCTGTTACAAGCAGTGAGGAATGCAATACAGTTTTCTGATGATTCCATTAATATCCATGGGCCACAATACCTTTTAATACATTCTAAACCTTTCCTTAATTGCTATAAATGCTAATTAGCAATCATATACAATTTCGCTGGTATGGTTCCTGACATTAAGTAAAAAACAGAACAATAACAAAATACTTACATGTCTGTGTAACCCCTTATACTTTGACACTAACATAGTAAACGTGTACTGAGCTCTATAAGAAAACACTGTGCCTCACTGTCACTAGCCAAACCACTTTTGATAATTGAGAACATAATGTGATTTAAAGCTCTGATTGGCCAACTGTTTTTGACAAAGTGGTATGTCTGTCACATGAACTGAAGTAATGTTGTGCAAAATGCAAGATATTGTACACTGCTGTTGTTGAAACCCAAATTTGGGACGGTTCAATTGTGCCAAAATTCAGATCTCGTTTGTCTAGTCAGTAAACACAACAGGCAGATACACGCAAAATTCAACATGCTATTACATTCAAGTACAACAAAAACAACAATTACCATTTCTGGAAGTTCTGTGAAGAGTTCTTGTTCAGTCTATGAAAACACAACAGTATGTTAAATATGTTACAAGTTAAACAGCAAATTACTATTTTAAGCCACCCTCACATAAACATGTCAAATACCCAAGACATCTGTGCCATAAAAGACATTCACAACACACATACCAAGTTCTCATTTTAAAAGATTTACCATTATAAATGATCACATCACAATATCATGTTTGGCACACATTAGAGTGTAGTAACATGTAGTACCTGACTCTCAGTCCTCTTTTTCAATGTCCCTGCTCGACTGTCACTTCTTGCCAAACGCCTGGATGAATTCTCAGCCTAAAACAGATTTCAAAGCGATTAATGACTGTAATAACGGCATGATTCAAAATAAAATCAGGTGACACAATACAATAAGGTGATAACAAGTAAAAACAAGTAATAACCAGAAGAGGAAGTGAGTAGCAATGCAAATGGCATTTTTACTTTCAATGATTCTAAACTGGACCTTATTTGCCACGCACTAACACTCGATGAGTAATTCTCTATCATCACTCAGTTGGACAAAACGCCTCTTTCTCCTCGTAGCTAGACAAAAACAAATACATTACCTCCTTAATAAAGCTTCGGAGGGATTCGTCTTCGCTCACTGCCCGAGAAAAGGCTCGTTTCTTGGGGGAGCCACTGCTGTCGAGCGTGGCCGAAAGCATTTTGATAAGTTATATTATATTTTTGGACGAAATAAACACAGATTTGGGAGTGAGGTGATGTTTCTCTCATACGCAGCGGACGTGAATGTACTGCCGACGCCCAGGCCTGAAATACGGAGAGCCGCTGGGACCAAACTTCATATACGCCCGTAATGACTCCGCCTACACAGTTCAGCCTACAGCCAAAAGTCAAAGAACTAAAGATAACATTTATCTTACAACAGAGTCAAATACATGATTAAATAAATATTCTTTGAATGAAAGAGATGAATGGATAAAATACCAATACACTAGGCCTTTTCCACCATTACTGCTTATTCTATTTACTAATAGACCCCTTAGCAGCCCATTACCTGCCTATTTCACTGAAGGCAAAAACAATGAGGGTGTAGGGTACATTCATTGTAATAGAATTGTGAAGGACAATAAATAAAAGATGGACATCTATATAAGGTTTATTCCTATACCTGCACAATCCAGGATAGTCAGTGCATAAATGCATATGTATTTTATAGCCTACACATACCAGACCATATTTATGCAGTAAGGACAATCCCAGTTTAAAGCCCTGTGTCTTGACTCCACTGATATATCTCAGTCAATTTTATACACAAAGTGGCTCTATTTTTGACCAATTTGTTAAAAGAGGGGAATATATTATTAGCTATTAGTATTATATAGTAGCTATATTTCTCAAATTACAGAAAAAATGTTTGAAAATCATGTCTCAGATTGTAATTTTCAAAATGGCCATTCACCCTTTGCATGTATGACACACTGTAGCCAACTCCAACAAGGATGACCACTTCAAATAAAAAAAAAATTAAAAAAAAACATTCTGGAAATGTAAACTCAGATAATAACTCAAATATCACCATAATGCACAGCTGCCAACAAATCACAACCCAGAAAAGTCAGTACACACAAAAAAATTAGATTGCAAGAAAACAAATATTATGTAAATTTCACTTTTTATCATTTGTGTGGCATGAATGAGTGGGAAGTGGGATTAGAGACAGGGATTGCCTAATTTGTCATTTTAATATAATTTCCTATGATGGAGACTGAATAATCTGTAGCCATGTGGCCATGAGGCCATGGTTCTTGACCGGAAAAAGGTGGCTTGCCCTCTCCGGGTGGGTGGGGAGTCTTTGCCTCAAGTGGAGGAGTTCAAGTATCTCGGGGTCTTGTTCACGAGTGACGGAAGGACGGAACGTGAGATTGACAGGCGGGTCGGTGCAGCTTCGGCAGTGATGCGGTCGCTGTATCGGACCGTTGTGGTGAAGCTCTCGATTTACCGGTCAGTCTTCGTTCCTACTCTCACCTATGGTCATGAGCTCTGGGTAGTGACCGAAAGGACAAGATCGCGGATACAAGCGCTCGAAATGAGTTTCCTCCGCAGGGTGGCTGGGTGCTCCCTTAGAGATAGGGTGAGGAGCTCAGTCACGCGGGAGGAGCTCGGAGTAGAGCCGCTGCTCCTCCACGTCGAGAGGAGCCAGTTGAGGTGGCTCTGGCATCTGTTCCGGATGCCTCCTAGGCGCTTCCCTCGGGAGGTGTTCCGGGCATGTCCCGCCGGTAGGAGGCCCCGGGGAAGACCCAGGACACGCTGGAGGGACTATGTCTCTCGGCTGGCCTGGGAACGCCTCGGGGTTCCCCCGGAGGAGCTGAAGGACGTGTCTGGGGTGATGGAAGTCTGAGAGTCCCTGCTTAGGCTGCTGCCCCCGCGACCCGGCCCCGGATAAGCGGACGAAAATGGATGGATGGAGACTGAATAAGTAGTACATGAATTACTTTGATAGGGAAATAAATCAAATAAGGGCTTCTATAAGGTTTCTTTCTGTGTGTATGATGTAGGGTATTCACTACAAAAAATATATTTGCTTTAGTAGCCTACACAGATACTACATATAGGCTAAGTCTAACAGATGACTAGGTGTCCCTCTTTTGGTTGTCCTGACCTGCAGACATTCAGGGCCCTCTTCCCACTTATTTTGATAAGACACAGGCTACAATTTTCTTTTATAAAATGAAGACTTTTATGGTGTGACCCACTGTTACTCAAGTTGCTTTCAATATGTTTTGGGAGATTAAATTTAAAATGGTCAGTAGTCTTTATAAGTTTAAATTTCCAACAATATCTCACCACAATACACGACTTGAACCTCATTTATTGACCACCTCATTTCGTGGTCAGTGTCACCCTTGGCCCAAGTACTCTCCATTGTGGTTTCTGCATCTATTTATCAAAACAATAAATGCCCATTCACTACTTTCAAGTAAGTTTTGCTGGGTTTCAGATGACATCACAACATTTTTAGGCCAATATTATTTAAGGGTGCACTATGTAACTTTTTGGTTTTACTTTACATTTATTCAGTTACAAGTGGTTTTATATCTCAAAAATAACATATATACTAAAAAGTGAGACAAAGCCTGCACATTTTCTCCCAAACTGCATTTAATGAATGGCAATGACAACAAAAACATATATTCTCACATTGAGTTAGGTTGCTTCTCCACTAATCTGAGTTGCAACTTGGTCTGGTTAGGTCTCCATGAAGATAGAAAGGTTTAATGCCATACTGTGAAACATTCCAAACAAAGCAATAACACCTCCACAGAGAAAAACATTTGATGGACCCTCCACCAGAAATGTTACACAGTGCATCTTTAATAAAGATGGGGGAAACTAAAATTAATATTGTTAAAATGCAGATTTTGGCTGAAATATATTGAGTTCTAGGGTCTAGTCACCAATACAAATGATCAGGTTCAACATTTGTGACTTTACCTTTGTATATATATATATATATATATATATATATATATATGTATATAAAAAGTGTTTCTCACCTTCCACGGTGGTAGGTCTCTCTCACCCTCATTGAGCTCGGGTCCTCTACCAGAGGCCTGGGAGCTTGAGAGTTCTGCGCAGTATCTTTGCTGTTCCCAGTACTGCACTTTTCTGGACTGAGATGTCCGTTGTTTTTCCCGGTATCTGTTGTAGCCACTCTTCCAGTTTGGGGGTTACAGCCCTGAGTGCTCCGATCACCACAGGCACCACTGATGCCTTTACTTTCCAGGCTCTCTCCAGCTCTTCCTTGAGCCCCTGGTATTTCTCTAGCTTCTCGTGTTCCTTTTTCCTGATATTACCATCGCTTGGTATTGCGATGTCAACCACCACGGCTCTGCTCTGTTTCTTATCCACCACCACTATGTCTGGTTGGTTCGCCATCACCATTCTGTCAGTCTGTATCTGGAAGTCCCACAGGATCTTGGCTCGGTCATTCTCCACAACCTTTGGAGGTGTTTCCCACCTTGATCCTGGGGTTTCCAGCCCGTACTCTGCACAGATGTTTCTGTACACTATGCCCGCCACTTGGTTATGTCGCTCCATGTATGCTTTCCCTGCCAGCATCTTACACACACTGCAGTTATGTGCTGGACTGTCTCAGGAGCCTCTTTGCACAGTCTACACCGTGGGTCTTGTCTGGTGTGGTAGATCTGGGCCTCTATTGCTCGAGTGCCCAGGGCCTGCTCCTGAGCAGCCAGGATCAGTGCCTCTGTGCTGTCCTTCAGACCAGCCCTCTCAAGCCATTGGTAGGATTTCTTGATATCAGCCACTTCAGTTATGTTCCGGTGGTACGCCCCATGTAGGGGTTTGTCCTGCCATGATGGTCCCTCCAGCACCTCTTCCTCTGGACCCCACTGTCTGAGACATTCTCTGAGCACCTCATCTGCCGGGGCCTTGTCCTTGATGTACTCAAGGAGCTTGGATGTTTCATCCTGGACAGTGGTTCCCACACTCACTAGTCCTCGGCCCCCTTCCTTCCGGCCTGCGTACAGTCTCAGGGTGCTGGATTTGGGATGGAACCCTCCATGCATGGTCAGGAGCTTTCGTGTCTTAACATCTGTGGTCTGTATCTCCTCCTTTGGCCAGCTTACAATCCCTGCAGGGTATCTGATCACTGGCAGGGCATAGCTGTTGATTGCCTGCACCTTGTTCTTGCCATTGAGCTGGCTTCTAAGGACTTGCCTCACTCTTTGCAGGTATTTGGCCGTAGCCGCTTTCCTTGTTGCCTCTTCGAGGTTGCCATTTGCTTGTGGGATACCAAGGTACTTGTAACTGTCCTCAACGTCTGCTATTGTTCCCTCTGGGAGTGACACCCCCTCTGTGTGGACTACCTTCCCTCTCTTTGTCACCATCCTGCTACATTTCTCAAGCCCGAATGACATCCCAATGTCTGTACTGTAGATCCTTGTGGTGTGGATCAGTGAGTCGATGTCTCGCTCACTCTTAGCGTACAGCTTGATGTCATCCATGTAGAGGAGGTGACTGATGGTGGCCCCATTTCTGAGTCGGTATCCATAGCCAGTGCGGTCGATTATTTGGCTGAGAGGGTTCAGGCCTATGCAGAACAGTAGTGGGGACAGTGAGTCTCCTTGGTATATGCCACATTTGATGGACACGTGTGCAAGTGGCTTCCCCTTGGCTTCAAGGGTGGTTTTCCACAACCGCATCGAGTTCACAATGAACGCCCTTAGAGTCCTGTTGATATTGTACAGCTTCAAGCACTCAGTGATCCATGTGTGTGGCATTGAGTCGTAGGCTTTCTTGTAATCAATCCAGGCAGTACACAGGTTGGTCTTACGGGTTCTGCAGTCACGGGCGACTGTTCGGTCAACCAGGAGTTGGTGTTTGGCTCCCCTGGTGTTTTTGCCGATACCCTTCTGTGCTGCACTCATGTATTGATTCATGTGCCCACTTATCTTAGCCGCAATGATGCCTGACATGAGCTTCCATGTTGTGGAGAGACAGGTTATTGGCTGATAGTTGGATGGGACTGCACCCTTTGAAGGATCCTTTAGGATCAGGATCGTACGCCCTTGGGTTAACCATTCAGGGTGAGTCCCATCCCTTAGCAGCTGGTTCATTTGTGCTGCCAGGCGCTCGTGGAGGGCAGTGAGCTTCTTTAGCCAGTACGCATGGATCATGTCAGGGCCCGGTGCGGTCCAGTTTTTCATACCTGAGACTCTTCCCTGGATGTCTGCCACTGTGATGGTGACTGGATTCTGTTCAGGGAGGTTGCTGTGGTCTTCTCTCAGATCCACCAGCCACTGTGCATCGGTGTTATGTGATGCCTCCCTTTCCCATATGCCTTTCCAGTACCTCTCAGTCTCCAGCCTTGGTGGGTATGCTCTGCTGTTATTACCCTGCCACTGAGTGTACACTTTCGCCGGTTGTGTTGCGAACAGCCGGTTTATTCGTCTGGCCTCGTTATCTCGTGTGTACCTCTTTAGGCGGCTGGCCAAGGCTTGGAGCCTTTGTTTGGCAGTTTCGAGTGCTTCAGGTATGGGCAACTGGTTGTACCTCTTGGGCACTTGCTTTTTCATTGCACCTTTCTGGGCCTCTGACAGTTGGCTCACTTCTCTCCGCACCTCCTTGATTTTAGCCTCTAACCGTCTTTGCCATGGTGGGTATTGTATCGCATGGCTCCCATGGTTGCTCTTATAGCCCAACACATCTAGGATAACTGCTGCTGAAGTGTATATCAGCTCATTGGTTTCAGTGATTGTTGTGGTAGGGATCTCTGTCAGTGCTGCATTCACATCGTCTAGGAGACTTTCAGATGGTCCTTCACTTAGCCTCTGTAACCGGCATCGGGGTTGCCTTGTGTTCATTCGGGCCATGATCTTATCTTTCAGGTCAGTCGCTGCCTCGCTCAGCGTGATACTTATTGGGGTTTCGTACCCAATCTCTGGTTGGGGAGTTGGTGTCAACTCCCCTCTGACCTGGCACACTGGTTCCCCCTTGCCGTGGCATTTGTGTTGTACCTCATCAATCTCTAGTTGTGATAGCAGTTGCCGTTTGTGGATGTTGGAACACTGAGCTACTAGTTGTTTGGCCGTTAGCTTGGACTGTGGGTATCGTAATAACCATTTCTCCCACATCCTGTTCATGTAACCCCTCTGCCTAGGGTTACTGTAGTAGTAGCATTCCAACAGAGCCTTGTTCTCGCATCTCGCCCATTTCCGCCGTATATATATACATATACACACACACACATATATATATATATATATATATATATATATATATATATATATATATATATATATATATATATATATATATACACACACACACACACACACACACACACATATATATATATTATATGGGAGGGATGGGACTCACCATGAATGGCTAACCCAAGGGCGTACGATCCTGATCCTGAAGGATCCTTCAAAGGGTGCAGTCCCATCCAACTATCGGCCAATAACCTGTCTCTTCACAACATGGAAGCTTATGTCAGGCATCATCGCGGCTAAGATAAGTGGGCACATGGATCAATACATGAGCGCAGCACAGAAGGGCATCGGCAAAAACATCGTTGACCGAACAGTCGCCTGCGACTGCAGAACCCCTAAGACCAACCTGTGCACTGCCTGGATTGATTACAAGAAAGCCTACAACTCAATGCCACACACATGGATCACTGAGTGCTTGGAGCTGTACAATATCAACAGGACTCTAAGGGCCTTCATTGCAAACTCGATGCAGTTGTGGAAAACCACCCTTGAAGCCAATGGCAAGCCACTTGCACAAGTGTCCATCAAATGTGGCATATACCAAGGAGACTCACTGTCCCCGCTGCTGTTCTGCATAGGTCTGAACCCTCTCAGCCAAATCATTGACTGGCTATGGATACCGACTCAGAAACGGCTTCCACCATCAGTCAGAACAATAGCAGACGTTGAGGACAGTTACAAATACCTTGGTATCCCACAAGCAAATGGCAACCTCGAAGAGGCAACAAGGAAAGCGGCTACGGCCAAATACCTGCAAAGAGTGAGGCAAGTCCTAAGAAGCCAGCTCAATGGCAAGAACAAGGCGCAGGCAATCAACAGCTACGCCCTGCCAGTGATCAGATACCCTGCAGGAATCATAAGCTGGCCAAAGGAGGAGATACAGACCACAGATGTTAAGACACGAAAGCTCCTGACCATGCATGGAGGGTTCCATCCCAAATCCAACACCCTGAGACTTTACACAGGCCGGAAGGAAGGAGGCCGAGGACTAGTGAGTGTGGGAACCACTGTCCAGGATGAAACATCCAAGCTCCTTGAGTACATCAAGGACAAGGCCCCAACAGATGAGATGCTCAGAGAATGTCTCAGACAGTGGGGTACAGAGGAAGAGGTGCTGGAGGGACAATCATGGCAGGACAAACCCCTACATGGGGTGTACCACCGGAACATAACTGAAGCGGCTGATATCAAGAAATCCTACCAATGGCTTGAGAGGGCTGGTCTGAAGGACAGCACAGGGGCACTGATCCTGGCTGCTCAGGAGCAGGCCCTGGGCATTCGAGCAATAGAGGCCCAGATCTACCACACCAGACAAGACCCACGGTGTAGACTGTGCAAAGAGGCTCCTGAGACAGTCCAGCACATAACTGCAGGGTGTAAGATGCTGGCAGGGAAAGCATACATGGAGCGACATAACCAAGTGGCGGGCATAGTGTACAGAAACATCTGTGCAGAGTACCGGCTGGAGACCCCAGGATCAAGGTGGGAAACACCTCCAAAGGTGGTGGAGAATGACCGAGCCAAGATCCTGTGGGACTTCCAGATACAGACTGACAGGATGGTGATGGCGAACCAACCAGACATAGTGGTGGTGGATAAGAAACAGAGCAGAGCCGTGGTGGTGGACATCGCAATACCAAGTGAAGGTAATATCAGGAAAAAGGAACACAGGAAACTAGAGAAATACCAGGTGCTCAAGGAGGAGCTGGAGAGAGCCTGGAAAGTGAAGGCATCAGTGGTGCCTGTGGTGATCGGAGCACTCGGAGCTGTAACCTCCAAACTGGAAGAGTGGCTACAACAGATACCGGGAAAAACAACGGACATCTCAGTCCAGAAAAGTGCAGTACTGGTAACAGCAAAGATACTGCACAGAACTCTCAAGCTCCCAGGCCTCTGTTAGAGGACCTGAGCTGAATGAGGGTGAGAGACCAACCACCGTGGAAGGTGAGAAACAAATTTATATATATATATATATATATATATATAAAATAAAATGTGTTTCTCACCTTCCACGGTGGTAGGTCTCTCTCACATATATATATATATATATATATATATATATATAATATATATATATATATATATACATACATATTATATTATATATATATATTATATATATATATATATATATATATATATATATATATATACACATAAGTACAATTTATCAATAGGAAAATATGTTTATCCCACATCTGGGAGCATTCCATCATCACATTCCAGAGTCTGAAAACAGTCTGAGCGAATCTATGCACTGTTCAAATCTAGTGATGTAACAATAACAGAAATATTGTGATATCAAATCATCAAAGTTCTCACAATAATATCGTGGACCATCACAATATTTGAATTACAAGTCTCTCTGCATAAATTAAGAGTTATGATGCAGTAATAGCTTTAAAAAGACAGAGACAACTACATAGACCATGATCCTTTGCTCCATTTCAGTGTAGACTACAAGAAGAAATAACAGTTCTAAGCACTTTAAGTCTTAGTTCTTTGGATTAAGACTTGTCAAGGCATTTTAAGAGGAAAAAGTAGCATATTAACAGTTTTATTTATTTCCACAAAATATCACAGTAAATATCGTACTGTGAGATGTAAATCGTGAAAATATTGTACAGAGAGATTTGGATATTGTTACATCACTAATTGTGAGTCTCCCAGCCATATTGTGAGCTTTCCCATGATATCGCAATAAATATTGTACTGTGAGGTTCATACTGTGAAGATATTGTATCGTGAGATATTGTTACACCTCTATTCAAATCCCAATATAATTGTGTTTCAATCCTTCATCCTACTCTCTACGGCTGCACCCCCGAGGTCCTCCAGCAGGGGACACTGCTGAGTCAATGATGTTCAAGCTGTCATCAAGTCCCGTTCAACAGCCTTCAGCAGAACTGCATCTTTGCGCTGATCATGCCAAAAATAAACTTACAACATTTAACGATAATATCTGCATTTATGTTTTTCTGCTAAATTAAATAGGTCAGAGAAACGTGTACTTCTATGTACGGTGTATCACGTATCAGACGTGATTAATCTCATGATATAGTTGCAAAATTAAGAAAAAAGTTTAATTAGTACGAGACTTTCTCTATTCATAAGACTAATTTGGTCTGTTTATCCACCAGTTACATAAAATCGCAAAATTCAGGGACAACTTGCTTAATTTTCGGTATAGCTTTTACTGATCAATGTCAGCTTCAGCCTACTTAATATGAGCAACTTGTGAAAAATATGTAGACATGGCCCCGCTGAATCAACCTAACCCCCTGCGACTTTACATTTATTTAAGCCTACTTCCTCGGCAGGGAGCTGCGGGGCTGAAAAGTGTAATTATCATAAAAGCCTAATTGGGCTGTATCTCTAATGGAAATTGTTTGTGTACTGTAAAAACATTTCTCCGCTCCAAAACAGTGCGCGCTCCCTCCCTTCGCTGTTGTCCCTCTTGACTTGGTGACCGACCTAAAAGCCTTTTGTTGCAATCTTAGCCAATGGAGACGGATTACGACACGGGGCAGCTGAGATATATAAAGAGCCCCCTTTTTGACCGCACTTGCACATTTTTCAGTGACACTTCTCCAATATCCACAACACCTACCGAGGACTAAATTGTACAGAATACCAACCACATGTTCACGAGAGAGATTACCGAACGCATCAAACAAAGTGGGACGTACTTTTTTGGATAATTGACATCAAAAACGTGCAAGAACAAGACCATCGTGCAGGAATAAATGCATGTCACTTGCTTGCTGCCTTTTGTAGGATAAGGCACACGTCCAACACAAGGGATATTTAACGACCTACGGCTCATCAAAAGACACAGTAACAAAAGGTGAAAAGTTGCACTGGCTCAGCTGCGCGCGTCAACATGCCGAGGTACAACTTCTTATTGTGCGTAATGGTGCTCGTATCTTTGGGCCAGTCCGGGAGCGACGAGCCCAATCTGCTGCTGCCTCCATCCAGTGAAGCGCCTACGGACGCCGGCTTGTCTCTGCTGGATGAGGACGCAGGCGCTCACGAGTGCTCGGCGTGCGTGTGGAGGGAACAGAGCAAAGTGCTGAGACTGGAGACCATCAAGTCACAAATCCTGAGCAAACTGCGCCTAAAGCAAGCGCCCAACATCAGCCGCGAAGTGGTGAACCAGCTGCTGCCCAAAGCACCGCCGCTGCAGCAGCTCCTGGACCATCACGACTTCCAGGGGGACGCATCCTCCCAGGACGAGTTCATGGAGGAGGACGAGTACCATGCCACCACAGAGTCGGTCATCACCATGGCGTCCGAGCGTAAGTACATCTTTTACGCGCAGTCACAACAGCTGCCCAACAAATAGTGGACAAAGTCGAGCACAATGTTCTATACATTTATAATACAAGTGTTTGAATACACTTTTTAAAGTTTTAGGAAAAATCTCTGAGTGTGGTACCAGCGCTGTCACACAGATGTTTTGTGCGCAACACGCAAAAAACATGAACATTTTTGCAGAAGCATTCATGCAGAGTCATTCGTCTCTAGAGTTAACCACAATTAAAACAGAGTACAGCGCAATCAATTAAGTGGCACCACTTGGCAAACCCAGTAACGAGTGTATGGTCACCGCTGTCAGTAAAAGGTGCGCCTCCTCTATCAGCATGCTCAAATACAAGACGCCCAAATTATGTTTTGCACTGGGCTTCACAGCCTTCTTAAACAGTGCTTACTCATACTTGGCAAGCAGGATTTCTGTTGACATGGGAGTCACCAGCGTTGCACTAATTGGCAAAGTTTCTTTTGCAAATTAATTATAGAATCTCTCCAAAAGTTTGTGATTTGAAATATATTTGACAGAGACATTGATGAGGTCCTCCTTAGAAGTGGTTTGGAACTGATTATCTAACACTCAGCAGCAGATTATTACACGTAATTATCAATAGCTGCTTCTTACTCAAATTGTCCCAAATTGCACTAAAATCAACCTAATTGCTGCCATGCCCACATTACTTGACAAGCAATGGTCAAATATAAACTTTCCTTTGCCATTACAACACCTACGAAAGTGCTCACTCAGCACGAGGACCACTGGTTGCCATGGAAAAGCTATTTAAGGGGCTCCAGGTGATAAAACGTGGCTCATAATTTGTAGTTTTCACGACTTTATAGTTGGTAAGGTAATTGTTTCTGGTGTAACTATGCGTGAAATTTTATGACTTAGTACTAAAAAGAAACTACGGACAGGATTTGTGAAGCATCAAACGTGTCTTTGAGCGAGTGACGCACGGATCTTGGTGCGTTATCCTGTAAAAACTCTTGTACCTCGCGCTGTCATCCATTTCAAACAGTTTTACTGTCTCTCTCAGTTACTGAATTGCTCTTATAATATAAAAAGTACATTGTCTTTCAACGCATGTATAGGGCCTATTCCTTATGCACAATCTGACAGGCGACATACAGTCAATCCTAGAGTGCGTGAAAGTGATGGTGCCTTCCAATTATTTTACTTTTTTGCACACGCTACTATGGTCTCCTATAAAGATACACAGATAAACCAGCCCCCTTCGGAGACATTTTAGAAAATTACTGTTGGGCCCCGGCAGCTGTGATCTATCCTTTATACGAGGCTCTACCGGTTTCCCTGCTGTTCATCGCAGTGAGAAAAAGTGTGTCCAAAAAGATGCCATTGTTCGCCTCATGCAGCGGCCCCCCTCGGCCGCACTTGCCTTTTAAATGTGGAGTTTATAGGAGCAGCTCGTTTTTTTTCCCTCCACGAGTACACAAAGACGCAGAATCACTTAGGGTCGAGGGGAGTGTGTGACCTTTGCGTGGGGAATAGCAGGGTTCAACAACATTTACACACGTAATATATTCTGCACAAGGCGGACCATGAAACGCACTGCAAATAATCTGTCCTTTATGTCCACAGTGGACAAAGATGAGCTTTTGTGCCACTGGTTTTCGTGTTGTCTGTAAAATCTTTAACATCATAACTGCTTAAATTGGCATGTTGTGTTAGCTTAAGGGTAATTTACTTTCTTGAACACTGAGTGCCTATCATAATTGGATGGCCTAGTCTGCCTACCCAAAAACACATGACAAAAATGTAGAACAGTCATGAAGGCACAGTCATTTCAAAAGACTGCATGATGGTCATACAAATCTAAGAAAATCCTGTGCAGTCATTAATACAATATTGTTTGTAAATTTCCACCTGTTATTTGACACAGAAATTATCCCCCCATTCGCTAATATTAGTCAAATGAATGTAAACATCATAGTGCCTTTTTGACACAATTTCTCAGCCTGACAGGTGGAGGGCATCTCTTCAGGCACCACTAAACCATAAAAGCTAGAAGTGTGTGGAATTTAAAGTATAGTTTCTCAAGTACAGTCAACTCTAGAGTTTTGTCTGTAAGATAAAAAAAAGTAATGAACAAAACCAAGGTGGGACTGAATCCCGTTTGAGTGAGGGCACACTGGATGCATATTTTGGTAATGATAACTTTGAGTTTCATTTTGAAAATTACTTGATAAAAACATATATATTATTATTATTATGACATAAGTAGATTGGAATTGAATCAGTAAATGATCCTAACATTTCCATTGTTCTCCTGGCTCTAGATCCTGTTGTAGTGTGCAGTGTGCGTGTGCCATGTTGCAGAGAGGTCCCTCTCCTCATCAGTGCAGTAGTTTTATCTGTTTCAGCCCCCTCACTTTCTCCCGTGCAGCGAGCGAGTGCATCTCTCTTTTGCCTGTGGCGTCTTCGTGATCCCACAGGATCAAAAGTGCCATTTGTGTCTCTGATAGAAGCAGCACTTCAAACAGCATTCCCGGTTGCACCTCGAACCCGGTCACCCTCTCTGTGCCTTTGAAGGCCGTAGTTCACGTGGTACATACTGAACTGGACCACAGCCAGAGTGGCTTCTTAGTATTCACTCAAGGTACGTGGGTGCCGCAGTGGGGGTTGACAGGGTCCGTGCTTGCTTCCTGGTCTCTAATTACGATGAAATTTCATGGAAAAACTACAGCTATTTATATCATAGTGCGGCACTTAATGTACTAACACATCCAGCTCTGTACGGTATGTGGTAAGGTGCTGCATCACAATGGTCATCGAGTTCACTGTACAGAAATAGTGCGTATGGGACTGAACCTGTTACACAGGAGCACACAGCACAAAATAGCACTGATTGTACGTCCTTGTGGTCAGATTGGCTAGAGCAGCAATACTAATTCTCCAATACAAGTTTAATACTGACATGATCACATAGCCACATAGAGACTATCATTATATCCACATAGACTCACAAATAATACATGCTGTGCTGTTTGTGCATGCATGAGATCGTACCTGAGGTGAAGTGAAAGTTTGATACTCATAGTTGCCTGTTTGACCATAGGCCTCCTCTGCTGGCATTCAGGCTCTGTACACAGAAAGAGTACTTCAACTAAAGGTGCATGTAAAAATTATATTAAAAAAAAAAACACCAAAAATATACATGTACATATCACACTGTAGAATATTCCAGGCAAGGAACAACATTTTCATGAGACAAACAGGTGAGGGACCTTCCACCAGAAAATGTACATATGCTTTTAATCCTAGGCTTAACATTGTTAAGAGAGTAAAGAGTAAAAACAACCAAATTGTTATTATTGGACTGTTTTGTTTTACAAATCCTTGGCTCTGATTACTTGTGATGTACGTACAGTGTACAGTACTATAGTCAGTAACACATATCAAAACCATGATCATTTGCCAGTACACAGAGCCAAATTCATTAGCTCAAGCCTCAGATGGCCAAGTTGTTGGTTACAATAGGGAAAGACATTCAGTGTAATTTAATGTAATAAGAGTGGAGGTAGATTCTACTCTTCTCTGAAGACAGGACTAAATAGTTTGTTCTTGTAATAGGATAGCTTAAAGTCACAATGGATGACCCCGTCTCAACATGTTCAGGATGAGGTAAAATAGACTTTCACCCATTTTAAACAGTGTTCCCTCATCACTGGCTTACTCACAGTTGTATTTAGATTCATTTATGTGTGAGTATTCCTGCTTTGTCTTGTCTTGCTTTCAAGACAAGTCCTCCAAAACTGTTGGTTTTCACCTATCTCCTATCTCTGCCTATTGCACTGTACTTGCTGTTATTCAAAGAAATCAGACTCCAGGTCAAACATGTCACCTTTTTTTGCCAATAAAACATGCAAAAAATCTGATTACATCATAAATGCACACATTTAGAGCCTGGATCCACTAGTGTCACTGTGGAGTTGAAGAGGTCTGTGCGTTGTGCTGTGGAGATGTGGGGCTGTAAGAAGAGACACATTAATGTTGTAATGCATCCCTAAGCATCCTCAGTGCACCTGTATCCACATGTACAGAGAAACATGTTACGGCTGTGAGGAGGGAGGGACATGCTGCTTACTCACCTGCAAACGCCGAGAGCTCTGAGACTGTTGACAAAGAGGGTCACGGAGTTCACAGCTACGTGATAGTTTGGAAAAAGGACTATTAAGCTCATCGGCTTTTCTTTAGCTGCACCGGTAGTAACACACAAGCAACTCCTCCCATCAAAACAAGACTTTTACTGTGTTGACACTATAAAGGGTCATTTCCTGAAAGCCCAGGAACCATAAAAATCAAGAGGAGAGCGCTAAAAGGACAGCACGGGTCTAACTGTCTTCAACACAGTGACAAAACTGCAAAAATAACAAAATATCAATTCACAATTTAGAAAGCCCTGTCAAATTTGCCCCATAGTATGTCAGTTCAAATTCCAGCTCAGGACACAAACTACAAAGATGGTGACCAATTTTGAATCATATAGATCTGTTGTACTTGTTAAAATGTTTTTTTTTAATCCATATTTATCTTGCATATTTTTGTCCCTTTAGTTTTTTTTGTTTGTTTTTTTTTTTTTTGTTTTTTTAACAACTCTTTGCATTATATTACAACTTTGAAAATGACTTAGTGAGGAACAAATATATCTCTTATCTTATTATCTTGTATTTTTTATTGTTTTTTTTTTATGGTTTTTTTTTTGCAATCCAATGGCTATTTAAAGTTTGTGTCTAAAGAAGATTATTGAACAAATCATCTGTCAATTTGAATATGGCACCTGCCCGGTCAATGTGTTAAACTTTTGAAAGGGAAAAATAAACATTGTAGTTGATTTGTTTGGACACTGAAAGAGCCTAAGAATGCCCTGTCACTTGCACAACATACTGTCAACTTTATGGCTAATAAAATTTCAAAGAGACCAGAGTCTATTAATACAAGGACCGAATTTCCCCAGGACCTCAGGAA